CAGTTATTTCACAGACACACAGGAATGTGTCTACAGAGCATAGCATCCATACCTCAGTCATTTCAGACACAGAGGAATGTGTCTACAGAACATAGCATCCATTCCTCAGTCATTTCAGACACAGAGGAATGTGTCTACAGAACATAGCATCCATACCTCAGTCATTTCAGACACAGAGGAATGTGTCTACAGAACATAGCATCCATACCTCAGTCATTTCAGACACAGATGGAATGTGTCTACAGAACATGGCATCCATACCTCAGTCATTTCAGACACACAGGAATGTGTCTACAGAACATAGCATCCATACCTCAGTCATTTCAGACACAGAGGAATGTGTCTACAGAACATGGCATCCATACCTCAGTCATTTCAGACACAGAGGAATGTGTCTACAGAACATAGCATCCATACCTCAGTCATTTCAGACACAGATGGAATGTGTCTACAGAACATAGCATCCATACCTCAGTCATTTCAGACACAGATGGAATGTGTCTACAGAACATAGCATCCATACCTCAGTCATTTCAGACACACAGGAATGTATCTACAGAACATAGCATCCATACCTCAGTCATTTCAGACACAGAGGAATGTGTCTACAGAACATAGCATCCATACCTCAGTCATTTCAGACACAGAGGAATGTGTCTACAGAACATAGCATCCATACCTCAGTCATTTCAGACACAGAGGAATGTGTCTATAGACCATATCATCCATACCTCAGTCATTTCAGACACAGAGGAATGTGTCTACAGAACATAGCATCCAATCCTCAGTCATTTCAGACACAGAGGAATGTGTCATTTCAGACACAGAGGAATGTGTCTATAGACCATATCATCCATACCTCAGTCATTTCAGACACAGAGGAATGTGTCTACAGAGCATAGCATCCATACTTCAGTCATTTCAGACACACAGGAATGTGTCTACAGAGCATAGCATCCATACCTCAGTCCAGTCCATTCCACTGGTTGACTAGAAAAATAATGGACGATGGGGAAGACTAACAAGCAGCCAGCAAGTATAGTTATTGTCCATGGCACTGACAAGCAGCCAGCAAGTATAGTTATTGTCCATGGCACTAACAAGCAGCCAGCAAGTATAGTTATTGTCCATGGCACTAACAAGCAGCCAGCAAGTATAGTTATTGTCCATGTCACAAACAATCAGCCAGCAAGTATAGTTATTGTCCATGTCACTAACAAGCAGCCAGCAAGTATAGTTATTGTCCATGGCACTAACAAGCAGCCAGCAAGTATAGTTATTGTCCATGGCACTAACAAGCAGCCAGCAAGTATAGTTATTGTCCATGGCACTAACAAGCAGCCAGCAAGTATAGTTATTGTCCATGGCACTGACAAGCAGCCAGCAAGTATAGTTATTGTCCATGGCACTAACAATCAGCCAGCAAGTATAGTTATTGTCCATGGCACTAACAAGCAGCCAGCAAGTATAGTTATTGTCCATGGCACTAACAAGCAGCCAGCCAGCAAGTATAGTTATTGTCCATGGCACTGACAATCAGCCAGCAAGTATAGTTATTGTCCATGGCACTGACAATCAACCAGCAAGTATAGTTATTGACCATGTCACTAACAAGCAACCAGCAAGTATAGTTTTTGTCCATGGCACTGACAATCAGCCAGCAAGTATAGTTATTGTCCATGGCACTAACAAGCAGCCAGCAAGTATAGTTATTGTCCATGTCACTGACAAGCAGCCAGCAAGTATAGTTATTGTCCATGGCACTAACAAGCAGCCAGCAAGTATAGTTATTGTCCATGGCACTAACAAGCAGCCAGCAAGTATAGTTATTGTCCATGGCACTAACAAGCAGCCAGCAAGTATAGTTATTGTCCATGTCACTAACAAGCAGCCAGCAAGTATAGTTATTGTCCATGGCACTAACAAGCAGCCAGCAAGTATAGTTATTGTCCATGTCACTGATGGTACTGATTTTGCCTGAGTTTTGAATGAACCCACACATGATATTCATTTCATTCATCATATTCAATCATTATTATAATAGCATGACATTTAGAATTCGTTTCATAGTTTTATGTCTCAGTCTTTGAGGGTAGATGTTTCGTATTGAGAATAGCCACACAAACAGTAACCTTGCTGTAGGTGTACATGAATGCAAAAGTATGATAAATCCTTGGAAATATCATACAGGGTCTTTGTGCATTCTGTCACAATCCCCAAGCTTGTAACAACAGTGGTATGGTTGACCTGCATGCAGGCATAGTAGGCATGATCAAATATCTCCAACACAGCAGTGAATCCATAGTAATAATGGCCCATCAAAGTCAAGTTTCTTCAAGGAGTGTAAACTAGTGGTAAAAAGAGATGGCAATATACTATGGTATCGTGATGCGAGGCTCATGATTCCATACATCGATTTGCATCTCCAGTATCGCAATATATACAAATCATTACTTTACAAGTTATGTTGATGTAAAAATATCTGAATAATAATAGAAACTGCTCAAGAACCAGTTTATACATATTTTCAAGTGTTTCCTTGTTGGCGACAAAAGCAGAAGTTGTACAGTGGCCCCACTGTTATATGTTTATCCCCTTCGATATACTGTCTTTGGTGTCAGATTTTTTAAAGCAAATAATTCTGGGTTGTGATTCACCTGCAAAAGGCAGAGAATATGAACTTATGAATACGAATATTGCATCAGGATACAATTGTATTGCACCCATATTTCAGGGATATGTTTCGTATCGTCACCTCACCATATCAGTACACCTGTACTGTCAACCTAATTTCACTTTCCTCAGTTTGTTGCTAGTGCTGTTTGAACAAAACAAAAATGTTTACAGTTTTATTCAGTTCCAATTCACAGCAAAATTAAGAAGTGGTTTAGAACACTAGCTCACAAAAGCCTCTTACCTGAAGGGACTACCATCATTGACATTTTACTTGTCTTCTGCACAATGAAGCAGTGACGGGCTAGCAGTCTTGCAGGACAAATAAACCATGATAATGGCTGTTTTGTATTGCTTTTGTCATGGTAGGAGGGACTGACCTTCTTTAAATAATGGGCGGGTAATCCTCAGGGACAGAAAAATTGTGTGTAGTTATTTTCACTTAATAATTCACATTTTAAGTGCATAGTAAATAGCATATAAAATATATATCATTGAAAAAAAATGAAAGAATTTGCTACTTGCATAAAGCATCTAAAATAGATATTAAAGTTGAAGTATATTGTTTCATTTTTCAAAAGAAGTCATCTCTGTTCTAGCAAATAAAACCTTCTCAGTACACCTGAAAGAAACCATCTCTTTTCTAACAAGTAAAACCACCTCAGTACACCCAAAAGAAACCATCTATTTTCTAACAAGTAAAACCACCTCAGTACACCCAAAAGAAACCATCTCTTTTCTAACAAGTAAAACCACCTCAGTACACCCAAAAGAAGCCATCTATTTTCTAACAAGTAAAACCATCTCAGTACACCCGAAAGAAGCCATCTCTTTTCTAACAAGTAAAACCACCTCAGTACACCCGAAAGAAGCCATCTCTTTTCTAACAAGTAAAACCACCTCAGTACACCCAAAAGAAACCATCTCTTTTCTAACAAGTAAAACCACCTCAATACACCCGAAAGAAGCCATCTCTTTTCTAACAATTAAAACCATCACAGTACACCCCAAAAGAAGCCATCACTTTTCAAAAATGTAAAACCAACTAAGTGAAACCAGTTCAATAAAACCAAATAAACACATGTGAAACCATCTCACTACAACTGGGTGAAACCATCTCACTACAACTGGGTGAAACCATCTCATTACAACTGAGTCAAACCATCTCAGTACAACTGAAAGAAACCATCTCTACAACTGGGTGAAACCTAACAACTTGGTGAACCATCTCACCATCTTAGTGAAACCATCTCACTACAAGAAGAAGCCATCTCACTACAACAAGTAAAACCATCTCAGTACAACTGAAAGAAACCATCTCTTTACTAACAAGGTAAAACCATCTCACCTCAGTACACCCCAAAACAACTGGGTGAAATCACTTCACAAAAATGTAAAACCAACTCAGAACAACCAAGTGAAACCAGTTCAATAAAACCAAATAAACACATGTGAAACCATCTCACTACAACTGAGTGAAACCATCTCACTACAACTGGGTGAAACCATCTCACTACAACTGAGTGAAACCATCTCACTACAACTGAGTGAAACCATCTCACTACAACTGGGTGAAAAACCAGTGAAACCATCACTACAACTGAGTGAAACCATCTCACTACAACTGAGTGAAACCATCTCACTACAACTGGGTGAAACCATCTCAATACAATATGTGAAACCATCTCAATACAATATGTGAAACCATCTCACTACAAGCAAGTAAAGCTACCCTAGTGTAACAAGATAAATTGTCTCTGTGAAACCACCTCAGTTCAACCAAGTGTCAATCTGTATTTAAGCAAAGAATCACACCTTTTATATCAAATGAAAGTTTCTCAATATAAATAGTGAAATCAGGCCAGCTATTAGCCTCACACTGATTATCAACTTGGTTCCCAAGATACACGGCCAAAACACTGCAGAGACAAGAAATATGCTACAAATGCAATATGCAACAAACCTTTCAAATGTTTTTTCCCCAAATAGTATGATGTTAATACGATTCGTCATACAGACGTCATAAAATATTTTCCTCTCGAAAAATCATGTTCGAGTTGAAAAAATGATTCGACTTGCAAAAGGAAATCCTATGTGAGTGAGAGTTCTTGTATACCTCTTGACATGCAGACCTAGTAAATTGAATGAAGCTATGCCAAGTTTGTGATAGTCTTTGCCCAACTGACGGAATGAGCAGCCCCAGTAATTATGGTATGGCCAGCATAATGAACTCCTAGCAACATTGTAACAGTGCCAGCTCAATGAACAGGAATCTGTGGTGAATCCTGCCACCGGCGACATACATGACTCAGTGAAACAACAGACGCAAGCTGGAACAGCTTATGACCTTGAACCTCCAGCAAGCACAATTCATGACTCGGTTGGGTCTATTGCCACTGAATGTTCCAGGTAAACACCATACCCTTCTCACTGGGTAACTCTGTGGCAGCAGGAAGATCTGTCATAGTCCAGTCAGAGGAAGGATGATTTACCATTGTGTTGTGTGTTGTGGAGTTGTACTGTGTAATATATTTTATATTTACTAATGTGGATGCTGAGGATGTAAGGAGATCCACTATGGTATACTGAGCTATTCATGTTAGAAACATTGATTTTAACATGGACAGTATTACATATTTTGTAAGAAACTGATTGCCTTCAGTGTCGGAACAACTTGAGCTTGTCACGTTTGAGTCCAGGGGAAAGTAATCAATATATCTCTCCAACACAACACCAGTTATCTCCCTTGGCTCCTCCACTAGCAGGGGGAGGTCTGGGGCACATTATACAGTCCTGTGTTTGTGAAGGTGATGAAAATAAAAACTGTGATCTAAAAATCTCACATGAGTAAGTAATACTGTGAAAAAGCTGAACCTTTGCAGAGATGAATGTAGCATTTCTTGATAGCTTGTATTGGATTAGAGGTAGTAGAAATGGGTAATTCATGTAAAACATGTTGTGTACAGATGAATCATCTCAGAGGCGAAGGTCTGTCCCAACAGAAAGGATGGAGAAGGAAAAAGGTTGGTACTGGAAATATTTTTACCATAATCGACATTAGATTAGAATTTCAAATTTTACATTGTATGTATGTTGATTGTGAAGGCTTTAGATACTTTCTTTGTGGTTCATGATTTGCTACCATAAAACACAAGACTCCTAACATTTTACAAAATGTAAGCAACAAAAACCCTGTCCACATCCATAAGAAAAGCTGGATTGATTTCAATTGTGATTATATAATGAGCATGTGTTTGTTTGTGTCTTCGTATGTTGAGTGCCATACTCAGTGGTCTGTAACTAATCCATTCAAAGTGATGTTTTGAAAGTTAAAAAGGTGAAATGCCAGCTTGTATTTCTTGTTGTCCTGGAAACGCTGATAAATGTGATCTGTCAACTGTGGCTAATGGCAGTGATGTATCTGTTTGTTCAGTTTCTGATGTTGTTTGAGTGAGTGAGTGTGTTTGGTTTTATGCCGCTTTTAGCAATATTCCAGCAATATCACAGCGGAGGACTACAGAAATGGGCTTCATACATTGTACCCCTGTGGGGATTCGAAATCGGGACTTCGGCGTGACGAGTGAACGCTTTAAGCACAAAACTACCCCACCGCCCTGATGTTGTTTGACGTTAGTGTAACATCTAGGAGTACACCAGAACAAGATGTTCAGATTTTCACTGTATTGAAAATGTCAGCAGTTTTTAATCTGATATTTCTTAAATGAAACCAGTCACTATGAATTTGTAGGATTGGATCAAGATACTTTTGTTTAATACACATTATAGTCTGTTTGCAGTGAAAACGTACCGATGAATGTCAGTTTAAATCAAAAGGTAAAGCAAATAAAGTGAAATTAAGACTGTGAATCCTCATGATTTTACCTTGCCAATTGAACATTTAAATCTCAGAATAAAAGTTGTTTAACAAATGATCATAGTCTCGCATGGCTATTATTGGTTTGTATTACAAGGGTGTATGCACATCAAATGAAACACCGAAAACGACAAGGGTTGTTATAAGTTAACGGTCTTCACGTACCGCACGTGCATTTGTTTCACTGTTCCAACTACTGCGCTTACCCCATTATAATGCAAACCAGCGATTTGAATCTATGATCGTTTGTTAAACAACTTTTATCCTAATTTAAATGTTCGATTGGCAAGGTAAAATTATGAGGATTCGCAATCTTAATTTCACTTTATTTGATTTACTTTTTTGTTTAAAGTGAAATTCATTGGTACGTTTTCACTGCAAACAACCTATATATGATATTTTTAAGGACACATGCTGCACTGTTTTCAGTACTGATTTTCAAAGTTACAGGCAATTCTAGTGTCCTGATGTGATTGTTATGTATTGATAATGGGTGAAGTTACGGATTACATTGTTGCTAAACAGAGACTGAGTCTCCCAGCACCAGTGGGAGCGGACAGAGCAACATCAGGACGCGTCTCTCCACGGGGACACTGCACATGAACGGAACCCAAACATTCAAGGATATCAGGATGCTCCAGGGCTCTGATGATTCCAATGACAGCCAAAAGATGGCACCTGCCAGAGGTAAGTCAGAGAACAGAGAAGGGTACTGAGTTTCATACTTACATCATATGATTAATTTCTAAATGAATTTTGTGCTGAGAAACACAAGATTACAATAGATGTGCAACAATAAGTTATCAGGGCATCCTTTCACAATGTTAAAGAATGGGAGTTAAGGTTAACCTTAGTAAAGATTGCTTCATGAAAGGAGCCCCAGGGATACGTCTAGGATTCTAAACTGACAGCAATGGAAAAAGTCATTTTTTTCTTTCAAAGTTGTTTTTTCTTTAAACTTCATTTTGTTTTGAATTCAATACCTCTTTTGATCCTTACCTCAAACAGAGCCAGAAAATCCGTCACACAGACAGGCAGACAGACAGCTGAAGCTATATGAGCGCGACAATCTTGAATGTGGTTGTTAATTCTGATTCACTGATTTCAATATTTTCCTCACCAGCTGCAGTCTTGACTTCAGATTCTCCTGCATCTCATGGCCGGAAACGGTCGTCTGCTGCAAGTGAAATGGCACAGTTGCCACCGAAGAGAAGGAAGATTGGCCACAATGATGGAACTGGAGAGGTAATGGCAACAGTACTCTAAACAAACCCATGCCTTGTCTTGACACATTGTAGGAAACCAGATGGTGCAGTGATGTATATCAGTAATGTAACTCATATTTAGTCTGCACAAGGTTGATTTGTTGTGTCTGTCTAAACAACTGTCTCTTTCCAGGGTAACAAGAATGACTACTTCTGCTGGGTTTGCCACAAGGAAGGGACCTTCATCTGCTGTGAGTTGTGTCCACGAGTCTTCCACAAGAAGTGTCTGGACATGGTCAGCGATGTTCCCAGGGACTGGGTGTGTCCTGAATGTGAGGTAGGTTGCTCTGGAAGTGTTTCCTAAATGTGAGATATGTAGTACTACCATTGTTTCCGAAGTGTGAGATATGAACTACTGTCATTGTTTCCTAAGTGTGAGATGTGTAGAACTATCATTGTTTCTTAAGTGTGAGATATGTAGTACTATCATATTCCTAAGTGTGAGATATGTAGTACTATCAGATTCCTAAGTATGAAATGTGTAGTACTATCATTCTTTCTTAAGTGTGAGACGTGTAGTACTATCATTGTTTCCTAAGTGTGAGACGTGTAGTACTATCATTGTTTCTTAATTGTGAGACGTGTAGTACTATCATTGTTTCCTAAGTGTGAGACATGTAGTACTATCATTGTTTCTTAAGTGTGAGATGTGTAGTACTATCATTGTTTCCTAAGTGTGAGATGTGTAGTACTATCATTGTTTCCTAAGTGTGATATGTAGTACTATCATTGTTTCTAAGTGTGAGACGTGTAGTACTATCATTGTTTCCTAAGTGTGAGACGTGTAGTACTATCATTGTTTCCTAAAGTGTGAGAGCGTGTGTAGTACTATCATTGTTTCCTAAGTGTGAGATGTGTAGTACTATCATTGTTTCCTAAGTATGAGATATGTAGTACTATCATTGTTTCCTAAGTGTGAGATGTGTAGTACTATCATTGTTTCCTAAGTGTGAGACGTGTAGTACTATCATTGTTTCCTAAGTGTGAGATGTGTAGTACTATCATTGTTTCCTAAGTATGAGATGTGTAGTACTATCATTGTTTCCTAAGTGTGTAGACGTACTATCATTGTTTCCTGTGAGAGTACTATCATTGTTTCCTAAGTGTGAGATATGTAGTACTATCATTGTTTCCTAAGTGTGAGACGTGTAGTACTATCATTGTTTCCTAAGTATGAGATATGTAGTTCTATCATTGTTTCCTAAGTATGAGATGTGTAGTACTATCATTGTTTCCTAAGTATGAGATGTGTAGTACTATCATTGTTTCCTAAGTGTGAGATGTGTAGTACTATCATTGTTTCCTAAGTGTGAGATGTGTAGTACTATCATTGTTTCCTAAGTGTGAGACGTGTAGTACTATCATTGTTTCCTAAGTGTGAGATGTGTAGTACTATCATTGTTTCCTAAAGTGTGAGACGTGTAGTACTATCATTGTTTCCTAAGTGTGAGATGTGTAGTACTATCATTGTTTCCTAAGTGTGAGACGTGTAGTACTATCATTGTTTCCTAAGTGTGAGACGTGTAGTACTATCATTGTTTCCTAAGTATGAGATGTGTAGTACTATCATTGTTTCTTAAGTGTGAGATGTGTAGTACTATCATTGTTTCTTAAGTGTGAGATGTGTAGTACTATCATTGTTTCTTAAGAGTGAGATGCATGGAACCCTTAGGAATGCATTATCTCACTTTTTAAGTTTCTTTTACACTGGTAGGTGTTTGTAACTCCATCAGTCAACAACACTGCATGTTTTCTTCATTCCAGAAAATCTTGCGAGCTGAGTGTACCGACTCCCGGTCACACGCCATGGCGATGATCACCGTGGAAACATTGTGTTTTCTGCTCAAGTTTGCTCTGGAAAGGATGAAACATGGCGGGGTAACATGTTAAGAAAAACCTCAGACAATCTGAAAGAATAGTCAGAAACAAATTCAAGGATTACAACACTCTGAAAGTTTCCTTATATTGTTTGATTTAGTTTTCATGCTTTCATCCCAATGAGGAACCAAGATAGAAAATCAGTTTCAGTTAGATTGTCCAACTTGTGAAATATTTGTTTGAAGCATGGGGCATTGCAAGTTTAAACCCCTGATGGAATAGACATAAGTTTTGCATAAAGTCTCCAATATCTTACCCCATACATGTTTGTATATCTTGGCCCATATAACAGTGCTATGTCTACACCTTGTTACTGTGGAGATTTGTCATCTAATGGTTACTCTCTTACAGTCTGACCCGTTCATGAAGGCTGTCGATCCTGCCTCTGTGCCTCTCTACAGTGACTATGTCTTCCATCCCATGGATCTTGGCATCCTGGAGAAGGTCAGTGTTGTGCTAGAGCTGTCTGTTGGGACCCCAGGGTATTGTGGGTTGTCAGTGTTGTACTAGAGCTGTCTGTTGGGATTCTAGGGTATTGTGGGATGTCAGTGTTGTGCCAGAGCTGTCTGTTGGGATACCAGGGTATTGTGGGTTGTCAGTGTTGTGCTGGAGCTGTCTGTTGGGATTCTAGGGTATTGTGGGTTGTCAGTGTTGTGCCAGAGCTGTCTGTTGGGATTCTAGGGTATTGTGGGTTGTCAGTGTTGTGCTAGAGCTGTCTGTTGGGATTCTTGGGTATTGTGGGTTGTCAGTGTTGTGCCAGAGCTGTCTGTTGGGATTCTAGGGTATTGTGGGTTGTCAGTGTTGTGCTGGAGCTGTCTGTTGGGATTCTAGGGTATTGAGGGTTGTCAGTGTTGTGCTAGAGCTGTCTGTTGGGATTCTAGGGATTGTGGGTTGTCAGTGTTGTGCTAGAGCTGTCTGTTGGGATTTAGGGTATTGTGGGTTGTCAGTGTTGTGCTAGAGCTGTCTGTTGGGATTCTAGGGTATTGTGGGTTGTCAGTGTTGTGCTGGGAGCTGTCTGTTGGGATTCTAGGGTATTGTGGGTTGTCAGTGTTGTGCCAGAGCTGTCTGTTGGGATTCTAGGGTATTGTGGGTTGTCAGTGTTGTGCCAGAGCTGTCTGTTGGGATTCTAGGGTATTGTGGGTTGTCAGTGTTGTGCTAGAGCTGTCTGTTGGGATTCTAGGGTATTGTGGGTTGTCAGTGTTGTGCCAGAGCTGTCTGTTGGGATTCTAGGGTATTGTGGGTTGTCAGTGTTGTGCTAGAGCTGTCTGTTGGGATTCTAGGGTATTGTGGGTTGTCAGTGTTGTGCCAGAGCTGTCTGTTGGGATACCAGGGTGTTGTGGGTTGTCAGTGTTGTGCTAGAGCTGTCTGTTGGGATTCTAGGGTATTGTGGGTTGTCAGTGTTGTGCCAGAGCTGTCTGTTGGGATTCTAGGGTATTGTGGGTTGTCAGTGTTGTGCTAGAGCTGTCTGTTGGGATTCTAGGGTATTGTGGGTTGTCAGTGTTGTGCCAGAGCTGTCTGTTGGGATTCTAGGGTATTGTGGGTTGTCAGTGTTGTGCTAGAGCTGTCTGTTGGGATTCTAGGGTATTGTGGGTTGTCAGTGTCTGTGGGATTCTGTGCCAGAGCCGATTCTGTGTTGTGGGTTGTCAGTGATTCCAGAGCTGTCTGTTGGGATTCTAGGGTATTGTGGGTTGTCAGTGTTGTGCTAGAGCTGTCTGTTGGGATTCTAGGGTATTGTGGGTTGTCAGTGTTGTGCCAGAGCTGTCTGTTGGGATTCTAGGGTATTGTGGGTTGTCAGTGTTGTGCCAGAGCTGTCTGTTGGGATTCTAGGGTATTGTGGGTTGTCAGTGTTGTGCTAGAGTTGTCTGATGGGATACCAGGGTATTGTGGGTTGTCAGTGTTGTGCTAGAGCTGTCTGTTGGGATTCTAGGGTATTGTGGGTTGTCAGTGTTGTGCTAGAGCTGTCTGTTGGGATTCTAGGGTATTGTGGGTTGTCAGTGTTGTGCCAGAGCTCTATGTTGGGATTCTAGGGTATTGTGGGTTGTCAGTGTTGTGCCAGGGTTGCCTGATGAGATCTCATGGTTTTGTGGGTTGTCAGTGTTGTGCCAGAGCTGTCTGGGATCCCAAGGTAATGTGGATTATTGCTGATTCAAGCATTGATAATATTCATGTATATACTACATCTGAAGCCATATTTCCTCATGATAAGTGACAGTTAATTAATTGTCCCAAACCATTGTTTAGATGCAAGTACATATGGTACTTGGTTTTGCTTGTTCAGACTTTGAGGATGGTTTTGTGTCTGTATGAGATGAGTGTTGACGCTCAAAGTATACACTGATATTCTATTTCAGAACATCAAGAAGAAGATGTATGGGTGCACCGAGGCCTTCATGGCAGATGCCAAGTGGATTCTACACAACTGTATTGTCTTCAATGGATGTGAGCTTCTACCAACTGACAATCCCTTTAAATAATGTCCTGTTTGTTGGATTTCAAATGAAATTAAGATGTATGGAATCTACTTTGAAACCCTTAATTTGTGCAACCATAATTCTTTATGCCAGCTATCTTTCAGTGGCAAGACTGACCTTCCACGTGAATTGTATCTTATAAACATAAGCCTTTTCAGTTACAGTGTGGGATAAATAGTTGGTTAACTTTGTTGCAGTACACAACAAGCTGACAGCTGCTGCCAAGACTATTATCAAGATCTGCAGGCATGAGGTGAGTGTCTCCTGCATCTTGTGGTCTGTTTCCCCAAGACTCCACTGTCCTTACAGTTTCAGGTCTCAATACAAAATGTCATTGTTCATCACTCACAAGTTAACCACACCCATGAAAATATTCAACTTTCATTGGTAATCTGATGTTTCAAATCTCAGTAACTACCACTAATTGAAACAGTTTGGTTGATGATTGCATCTTTTCATATCTGTTCAGCAAAAAAAGTAGTGTTTCAATTTTTTTTCCAATGAAAATCAAACTGGATGTTTTTTGTCTCATATTGTAGTGTTTTGTGGATTAGAAGTAGATCTTGCAAGGCTAGCTTTTGTTTACATTTCAGGGCACTGTGTTTAATTATTTGACCTAAAAGCTTTATATTTGCTTCAACATGCAAATTATCTAAATAGTTCTTCCTTGATGAGACAACATGTGTATCTCCTTGTTGCTCCATGTCATTGTCCAGAAGCCATTGCAGGTGAAATCAGATGAAAAAAGACAGAAATGTTCAGCATGTATTCAATAAATGTGTTAGGATATGAAATGAATATAGCATTCCTACAATGTTGCAAATGTTCAGGTAAGTCTTGTCTGTAATTTACTTGTGTACGTTCTGATGAATAATGTGACTTTTGCTTCAGATGAGTGAGATTGAAGTGTGCCCCGACTGCTACCTGAACTCCTGTGTCAAGAGAAACGATGAGTGGTTCTGTGAACCCTGTGTGAGTATTTCTCTGTGGGATACAGCTGGAATCTGATATGTAAAAGCCAAAACAGAAACTTTGGAGTGAAATATGGACATCTATGCTTAGGTTTTGCAGCTGGTGTTTTTGTTCACAATGTATTCAGTTTATGATGTAGTTTTCTTTTAAGACATGAAGACTTCACTTTATCACATATTGATCCTAAATTGATCCCTAGCAACCAGTTTTGATGGTAAGAACCAACATAATAGATGGGGTGGTCAGGCTCATGATGTTATGGAGTGCATGTCATTGGACTTAGAGGAGTTGGATTGATGTTGAAATATCAGGTCTCAGGTCAAGACTTGAGTAGTTAAGCTCTACCATCATATAGCTGGAATATTGCTTCATTAAACAACAAAGAAACTTGACATTATTATTTCAGAGGGAACCCCACCCACTAGTATGGGCCAAACTCAAGGGATACCCCTTCTGGCCTGCCAAGGTGAGAGATTCTTGAATTATCCAGTCTCATCTTAACTCCAGCACCACAGTTCTGTTTCCATGGGTCATCCTGTGAAATAAAGGGTTTTTTTAAATATGAATAGCTTGTGTGGAAAAGAAATATGTTGTTGACTGACATTTGAGAAGTAGATAAGATAACCAGCAAATCATGCTGCAATTGTGATGGTAACAGAAAGACGATGTCCTTAACAATAAAATCCTGTTAACCTACAATGAAAGTGGAGAATTATTCTAAAAAATATCTTAGGTATGGTTTATGTTGAACTAAGCATCTTTCTCTGTGTTGGTCCATACAGTCAAAATACAAGTCACATCAACAAAGTCATAACATTAGTTTTACTTATAATAGCATGAATTGGAAAATGTTCAATTCCAATTTTGGAATTTGTTCTGACATTTGCAGCAGATTTACAGGCAGAATATCAGCCCCCTAGCAGTCTAACAGTAAATCCCTGTTACCGTATATAACATAAGTTACCCATATGGGTGATCAACTTTGAGATTGATACATATGGCCATCTCTTGTCCACAGGCCCTGCGTGAACAGGATGGACTGGTCGATGTTAGATTCTTCGGGGCCCATGATCGGTCCTGGGTGCCTCCGTCACAGGTGTTTATGTTGTCAGAGGACATCCCCACACCAATGAGGAACAAACGGCAAGCAGGCTTCGACAATGCCATGGAAGAAACAAACACACATATTGAAAAACTGAGGTGAGAGTCTCACAGCAACTTGAGAGGGTTGCCGAAGTGGTAAACATTTTAGACGTGCAGCACATCAGGCTTTCATCTCTGATCCTGCCAACATGCAGTGATAAAACTGAGATACTGTGTAAAGCATAATTTTAAAAAAAATCATTCACTGATTTACTTTATAGAAAACTTTACACTTTTCAGGTAAGGCAGGCAGTGAAATTAGGCACAAGTGACTGATACTGTAAAATTATTGCTTTGTGGTATCTTTCTTTCTTGTGCCCCTGACCCGCGAAGGTCTGGGTTAGAATGAACCTTCAGCAACCCATGCTTGTCGTAAGAGGTGACTAACGGGATTGGGTGGTCAGGCTCGCTGGCTTGGTTGACACATGTGATCGGTTCCCACTCGATGCTCATGCTGTTGATCACTGGATTGTCGACTTGATTATTTACAGACCGCCACCACATAGCTGGAATATTGCTGAGTGTGGCGTAAAACTAACCTCACTCACTCACTCTTGTGCCCCTGCAAATCAGACAAGAATACCACTGAGTTTTTATCCCCCCAATGCTTTTTGCAGGGGGTATTAAAATACCGTCCGTCCGTCTGTGCGTCCGTGTACATTTGTTTTTTCTCCGGAGCATAACTCTAAAACCGTTCAGTATTTCTTCACCACACTTGGCACATAGATAGATCTGGTGGCCTACTGGTGCCTTTTGGTAGTTTTGGATTTCTGAATAAAATATTTTTTGCGTTTCCATGGCAACAAGTTTGACTTAGACTGAAATTGGTGGTAGTACTCTTTTCCGGAGCAGAACTCTAAAACCGTTCAATGTTTCTTCACCAAACTTGGCACATAGATAGATCTGGTGGTGAACTGGTGCCTTTTGGTAGTTTTGGATTTCTGAATATAATATTTTTGTGTTTCCATGGCAACATGTTTGACAGACTGAAATTGATTGTAGTGTTCTTATCCGGAGCAGAACTTTAAAACCGTTCACTGTTTCTTCACCAAACGTGGTACATAGATAGGTCTGGTGGTGTACTGGTGCCTTTTGGTAGTTTTGGATTTCTGAATAAAGTGTTTTGGGCGTTTCCATGGCAACAAGTTTCACTTTGACTGAAATTGGCGGTAGTACTCTTTTCCGGAGCAGAACTTTAAAACTGTTCACTGTTTCATCACCAAATTTCATACATAGGTAGGTCTAGTGGTGAACTGGTGCCTTTTGCTAGTTTTGGATTTCTGGATAAAATATTTTTGCATTTCCATGGCAACAAGTTTGACTTCAACTGAATTTGGTGGTAGTGCTCCTTTCTGGAGCAGAACTTTGAAACCTTTCAGTACTCTTTCCACTAAGCTAAATTTCATACATAGGTAGGTCTAAACATTTGACTTTTAATCATAATTTTTGGCGTATTCAATGGAAGAGTATTTTAGCTTCAACTGAATTTGGGGATAGTGACTTTAACTTCTTGTTAGAATTTGTCAGCACTATACCAGCTCTATGCTTGTAGGTTTCAACAAACAGGTAAATGTCTGAGACTTGTTTCACATTTGGGCTTTCCTCGCACATTACACTGACACTCCCATGATATATGACCCATGAAGGTCCGGGTTAGACTATTGATCTTTAACAACACATGCTTGTCGTAAGAGGCGACTAACGGGATCGGGTGGTCAGGCTCGCTGACTTGGTTGACACATGTCATCGTATCCCAGTTGCGCAGATCGATGCTCATGCTGTTGATCACTGGATTGTCTAGTCCACTCGATAATGTACAGACCACCGTCATATAGCTGGAATATTGCTGAGTGTGGCATAAATCTAAACTCACTCACTCACTCACTCACTCCACGATATAACTGGAATGCTGTTGCAATAGGCATTAAATCCAACTCACTAAGTGTCACATTTTTCAGAGAAAGATTTGGGACCTATGAGTACGCACCATTCCGCACACCCTATGACAAGACAAGAACATACTCACCTTTGAAGAAAAAGGAGGATATACTGACATATCCTAAGAAAGTGATTAAATATCCTGCAATAACTCACACTTCGAAGTTCCCCAAAACATCTCATTCTTTCAATGTCATGAAGCGAAAAGACAATTGATCCCAAGTCGTCTGTAACAAAGACTGCCTCAGCTGTCAGACTTAAATACAACAGTATCATCACAACCAGAAAGGCTGCCTCTCTCACAGTAACAACAAAGGGTAAAGGTTTGTCACAAAAGACAGACGATAGTGCAAGGAGTCCAGATTTACCTCCCTTTGTAGATCCTGTTGTGATGAGAAAGACAAATGAGAATGTGTACAAGACTGCCGAGCGTGTGGGAGGGAAGGTAAGACTTGAGGAGGATTCTAAGGGAGCTGATGAAAGGACTGATAAATCAAGTATTGATACAAGTATTGGCAAGGACAGTGCCCAGGGTTGAAGAAACTACTGATGTTTCTGTGTTAGGAAGTGGCAGTTCCGACAGTGACAATGTCAATGTCGTGGAGGACAAAGTGCTTGATAGTTCTGAAAGTGAGTCAGCATCTCCAGTGAAAGAGGTCAGTGTTCAGGAGAGTGTGTATAAGCCTGAAGCCAAACCCAGTGAGGATAGGGGTAAGTCTGAAACTAAGCCCATTGAGGATAGGGGTAAGTCTGAAACTAAGCCCATTGAGGATGAGGTGTTATGAGCCTGATGAAGAGTCAGCAGTGTTTCATAGAAAGACTGATGCTGAAGAGGAGAGAACACAAGAACAGTCATCAACAGAGGTAAAGCAAAAGCTGGTTGAAAATGAACAAACTGAGGAAGATCCAAAGGGGGCAGTGACAGATCCAAGAGATACTGAGAATGACCTCAAAGAGACAGAGAAAGAACCTGTACAAACAGATGAAGAATGTGAACAGACATTGAACAATGTTGAGCAGTTTTCAAAATTAAGAGCAGCATTAATTGACTCCAATGGTAAAAGAGATCCTGTCTCTTCTGATGGGAGGCAGACGCCAAGTGATTCTGCCGATGAGGATGTTGTGTATACAGCCAAAGATGGTAAAGTCAGTGAGTGTGTGAGAGGCATTGATTCCAAAAGTAAAATGGATGTGTCAAAAGAAAAGGATAGATCAAAAACAAGTGCTCAAGAAAAGTGTTCAGAAAATGTTTCTTTGAAAGATGACAGCAATAAAGAGGCTCTAGAAACAGAGACAGTCTCTGATGATGAGTTCCAACCTTCTCTGGTAATGGAGGTTGACTCAGGGGATGAAGACAGTGTGACAGAATTCAGTGAATCAGACAGTCAATCCCCTAAAACTATTGTGTGTACAAAGAGTGCATCTCCTGAACCTACCTCAGTTTCTCCCAAAGCTAAAGTGCAGTCAAGTATGGTTTCCTTTCCTCGTAAAGTCAGTGCTGACAAAGCAGCTGGGCCCGTGGTGGTGCAGAGCTTCCTAAAGACCATTGCCCCAAAGCCATCGAATCTTTCATCATCTGTGCTCATTCCTGCTCAGTCTTTGATCAAGGACAATTCCCTGACAATTAGTGCAAAGCCATTAACCAAGAAACCAGCTAAGACAGGTGATTCTTTACCCGATACTAGACCTCGAAGCTCACCCCTGCCTGAAGACACTATGAAGGTGGCGCTATTCTCCAGTGGGAAGAAGAAAAAATCTGAGGAAATTTCAGAGAAAAACATTCCAGATGTTGAAGAAATTCAAGAGTACGTGTCACAATATGGTAGAGTTTGACTGCTAGGAGAATGAGATATCATTAAGCTGCTTGAATGCAGTTTTGGATGATAAATTTTTATCTCCCGATGATGAACATGGAAACTCCATAGCTCTATTTTGAATCTGATTTAACTGATATGGTGTTTGGTATTAACTGAAAAACAGTCATGTTTAAGATAAACTGAGTGGAATTCAGATTATGGATGTGGTCACTTCCCAAAGGAATCAATGGTCTTGGATGGATCCAATTTATTACCATAATGTTAGAGTAATATCACTCTCAAGCAAATCTAGTTTTTGCAAACTTAATAGAGTGCCTTCAATGTTTTGGTATTGTTGATGTGGAGCCCTGTTCTATGTAAAAATCCCAGTCTAACTTTCATTATTATTTAGAGTTTTTAATTTTAAGCCATTACAAATTAAGTGACTTCCTTAAGTTGCATTTAGAAGCTGATATGATGAAGTGGAACACTTTTTATGGATAGACAACTTCTTTGTTGCAGTAGTAGTTGCAAATTAAGTGGTATGCTGGATGCCTACAGTATGTAGTTTGGTTCCCTTGTGTCAGAGCAAATAGAATTGATGTGCCTGTGCTTATTTATTCTCATTTTAAAGTATACTGTGTGTTCGTTCATATATGAGCAAAACAGACATTGATTCAGCAAGTAATATCAATTTACTATAGTGCCCGATAACCATGATGACTAAAAAGTTCAGGTCCTCCCAGAACAAGTCTATAATCAGCATTCATCTTGTATTTGTTAGTGATGATGAATCCTCTAACTCCAAACATCAAACTCAGGACATTGTGAAGAAGTACAAGGACAAGGTAGGTGTTGATGCCACCATAGGGGCGAACTGTACCCCTCTGATGAGTGTAAATTGGCACGGCTCCCATGTCTGAAAGCTATGAATATGCAATGCCATTTAGAAAGAGGTCAGCTTATGTTATATTTGGGACTGCACTTTCTCAGTAACAGACAGATTCTTGTACTTGTATTTGTCCCATGCTGAATTCGAACCCACACTCTCAGAGTGAGGCACCTAACTTAGTAAGTGTAATTCCAAATCATAACAATTGTGGTGCGTAACATCAGTATTTTACAACATCAAATACCATGCATTCCTCATCTGCATTAAAACAGATGTTGTCTTGTTTGAGTGCGTAAGCTCATGATATGTGTCTTGTATGTGCAAGACAGTGGGGTAGCCTAGTGATGATATTACTGGAATATTGCTAATAGGGGCATAAAACCACACTCACTCACTCACTCATGTACGTGCAGAGTCGGGCACACGAGCACTGTGGGTTTGTGGGTTTCACCATGGTGACAATGTCTGATACATGTATCACTTTGCCCTTTCCTCCAACATCAACCTGACATGCCATGATATAACTGGGCATTATAACTCACTCACTCACACGTCTGGTATTGTGGCACTACATTGCCTGCCCTTTCCTCCAACATCAACCTGACTCACACGTCTGGTATGGCACTACATTGCCTGCCCTTTCCTCCAACATCAACCTGACATGCCATGATATAACTGGGCATTATAAACTCTGGTATTGTGGCATTACATTGCCTGCCCTTTCCTCCAACATCAACCTGACATGCCATGATATAACTGGGCATTATCACTCACTCACTCACACGTCTGGTATTGTGGCACTACATTGCCTGCCCTTTCCTCCAACATCAACCTGACATGCCATGATATAACTGGGCATTATAACTCACTCACTCACTCACACGTCTGGTATTGTGGCACAACATTGCCTGCCCTTTCCTCCCACAACAACCTGACATGCCATGATATAACTGGGCATTATAACTCACTCACACGTCTGGTATTGTGGCACTACATTGCCCAGCACCTTCTGTATGTTATAATATTGCCACACAGGTGTGGATCAGGTTATATCACATGGTAATATCATACAATGTACTATGAATTATGTATAATATACACCAGCAGAGACATGTGCAGGTGCGTTCTTGAAAGTCACATTGGTAATATCTCGGTCAATATGCAACATTCTGGAATGGTTGTATGGGTGATGAGTTTGAAGTAGTTTTAAGGTTATATGGTCTGAAATAAGTACTTGTAGTAAGATGTGTTTTGCCTCTTATAAATACATTTTCTGTGTTATGTCCAAGAGGTCCATCTTACACCTGGTGATATTGCCAATGTGGTTCTAGATTTCCCCCTGTACAAAAGGTGGCTTTATAACCAGGATGTATTGTATGTCATGTTTTAATGGTACAGTCACTCGACTCATATTCTGTTTTGACAGCTGCTTAATGCCATCAAGACCTCACTGGATGACATGTGCACAGACATAGTGAAGAATGCCATCCCGGTAAGTACTGCTGCACTGTCCAGACCCATCCACCCCAAAAAATGTTCCACCATTAATATCAGCACTAATTCAGACACGCATTCCACAAAAACAATGTCAAAGCACGACCTGTGGTCAATGTTCTTGCAAACATTTTGCTATGAAGTTTTAATGTGATTTCAGGTTAATGTTTTATGTATCAACACATCTAAAATCTTTATTGGATTATTTTTACCCACAAACTAAAACACACACATATACCCTCAACCTGACACTTTTACAGAGCCTTAGCTTTGAACCCCAAACCTGAATACACACCCACATCTACCCTTCACACCCACATGCACACCCACACCCACCCAAATTGCTTATCACACCCACATGCATGGCTTATGCACACACCCACCCCACATGGCGGCTTATGCACACCCACCCACCCACATGGCTTATGCACCACCACCCACCCACACACCCACCCACATGCACACCCACACCCACCCACATGGCTTATGCACACCCACACCCACCCACATGGCTTATGCACACCCACACCCACCCACATGGCTTATGCACACCCACACCCTCAAGTTGAAGCTCACTAGGCACCCTCCCCTTCCATACACCACCTGTGTCCCACTAGTGTCACAGCCATATCCATATCCATATCGTCATCCTCATCTACAACCTCCATCCTCATCCAGTCAACCCATAGCCCCTACACCCAACATTCCATGACTCACAGCCTTATGTCCACTGACAACCACAATGACATCACACATCCACAACAATACCCTCATTTGACAAACAAACTCACACAGACACACACCAAAACACTCACACTCCAACACAACCATGCCAACACCCACCCACACACATGCACACACATCCACCCTCCTGCATTCAGTGTGTACATTATGTGTCTGTTTGTTGTCCAGGAGACCAGCACCAGCAACAAGCACTATCAGCAGGAGCTGGAGAAGCTGCGCTGGATCCACCTGCAGGAGGTGGCCGAGCTCAAACACAACTTCAGTGAGTTACCTTGTCTCCAAACTCTCAGCCTTGTAAATACCTGCACACCCATCAACGTTTTTCTCAGTCCTCCTTTTGTTCAGCTGTACATGTGTGACCTAATTTTGTCATCTTTATAGGTTTAGTGATAAGAACCCAATGCTTCGAATACATCTCCAGTGCTTATCATAACAACCAGAAGATCACACATTAATCTTTAGCTGTATCACATTCCACTGACAAGGGTTAAGGGTGTTTGAAAGTGGCATTGACATTTGCCAGTGAAACTTTGCTTGAACTAAAACAAAGTTCTCATAAATAAATGTTAATTTTACAAAAGCAAGCACTATAAAAAGCTTAAGTCTGGGGAGAAACATCTATTTATTGAAATGGTTTCCTGCTGATGTTCTGCTCTTGGGATTACAGTATAGGTTGGGTATATGAATTAGCACAGCTCTTGTAGGTTTCTGCAGCAAGGTGTCGCCTTATGTTCGGAGTGAAGGACTCACACCACTGATCTGCATGGCCCAGATTGGAGAATTCACATGGCGCTGTGATGTTGAGTGATGGATTGTGTGTTGCAGAGTTGACGGTGATGGAGATGCGGGCGTGCTGGGATGCAGAAAAGCAGCGCCTGTTCAAGGACATCAGCAAGCTGTGCGAGAAGGAGAAAAACAAGGCAATTGCCGAGATCAAGAAGAAACAATGGGTCAGTCAACAACAATGATAAGAATCTGGCACTGTGTTATGTTGTGTTTATGCTGTCATTAAATCATGTGGGCAAGGTAGGCATGTTTTAATCATTTTGCTAATCATGCCAAAGATATGGTTCAAGTCCCATCATTGTGAAACCCTTGGTATTTGCTATCATGAAATGGTCCCAAGGTCCCATCTGCACTGGACAATGTTTCTGATGAAGATTTGTTCTCCAGCTTAATGTACCCAATGTGGCAAGAAGGGCTGAGGCTAGATACTGTTATTGATGCTAGAAATGACAAAACTTTGTGGATGATCAACTTCTTTAATTTGACAATGGCGATGTTTCAGTATAGATTCTTATATTGTTTTCAAGCATCCAGTCAACATTGGCAAAAGTTTATGATCCATAAAGTTTTGTCATCTCTATGCCACCAACTTCTAGAATGCTACTCAAACACACACAAAATGTTACTGATGCTGTTGTGTTCTCCTCCCCAGTGTGCCCAGTGTGCCCAGTGTGGCAAGGAGGTCTTAGCCTAGATGGTGTTACTGATGCTGTTGTGTTCTCCTCCCCAGTGTGGCAAGGAGGCCTTAGCCTAGATGGTGTTATTGATGTTGTTGTGTTCTCCTCCCCAGTGTGCCCAGTGTGGCAAGGAGGTCTTAGCCTAGATAGTGTTATTGATGCTGTTGTGTTCTCCTCCCCAGTGTGGCAAGGAGGCCTTAGCCTAGATGGTGTTTTTGATGCTGTTGCATTCTCAGCCCAGTGTGCCCAGTGTGGCAAGGAGGCCTTAGCCTAGATAGTGTTATTGATGCTGTTGTGTTCTCCTCCCAGTGTGCCCAGTGTGGCAAGGAGGCCTTAGCCTAGATGGTGTTATTGATGCTGTTGTGTTCTCCTCCCCAGTGTGCCCAGTGTGGCAAGGAGGCCTTAGCCTAGATAGTGTTATTGATGCTGTTGCATTGCATTCTCAGCCCAGTGTGCCCAGTGTGGCAAGGAGGCCTTAGCCTAGATAGTGTTATTGATGCTGTTGTGTTCTCCTCCCCAGTGTGCCCAGTGTGGCAAGGAGGCCTTAGCCTAGATGGTGTTTTGATGCTGTTGTGTTCTCCTCCCCAGTGTGGCAAGGAGGCCTTAGCCTAGATAGTGTTATTGATGCTGTTGTGTTCTCCTCCCCAGTGTGCCCAGTGTGGCAAGGAGGCCTTAGCCTAGATAGTGTTATTGATGCTGTTGTGTTCTCCTCCCCAGTGTGCCCAGTGTGGCAAGGAGGCCTTAGCCTAGATAGTGTTATTGATGTTGTTGTGTTCTCCTCCCCAGTGTGGCAAGGAGGCCTTAGCCTAGATAGTGTTATTGATGCTGTTGTGTTCTCCTCCCCAGTGTGCCCAGTGTGGCAAGGAGGCCTTAGCCTAGATAGTGTTATTGATGCTGTTGTGTTCTCCTCCCCAGTGTGGCAAGGAGGCCTTAGCCTAGATAGTGTTATTGATGCTGTTGTGTTCTCCTCCCCAGTGTGCCCAGTGTGGCAAGGAGGCGATCTACTACTGCTGCTGGAACACCAGCTACTGCACATACGAATGTCAACAGTCCGACTGGCCAGAACACATGCCCAGCTGCATGCAGACTCTTGCAGCCAGTCAGGAACAGGAGAAGGCGGAGCCATCAAAGCCCAGCAGTAACGCCAGTAATACAGGCGCCAAGGAAGATAGTAACAAGAAAGGCTCACCTCCTGCCAAACAGTCAACAGAATGGTCTGAGAAGGAGGAGGCTATTCAGGTATTGATGATGATGATGGTGATGATGGGTTTTTGTGTCTTCTTTGCATTACCACTCACTATGCCATTCTAGCCTGCCCCTTCATAATCAAACATGATACTCGACGTAATGATGCATGTCGGATGTCATTGCCTGGCACAGTCTCCTTCAGTACTACCAACTCTGTAGCACCCCATGGTTTGCAGTAGCTTCACTCGGAAACATAACGTTTAACTTTTTCGATTGAAAAAATGTCCCAGCTTGATGCACAATTTAACAGCGACACAGTTTGATTATATCACAAAACTGATGTCTACAATTGTCTTCTACTACTTCTATCTATAGTTGTACTAGCTTGTCACACGGAAGACATATGGGTACAATGTGTGAAGCCAGGGTATTGCTGGAATATTGCTAAAAGCGGCATTAAATGTTACTCACTCATGCTACGGTTTGTTTGTTGTTTGGTACATTAATGATGCAAATCACCCCCAACAGACCCAGAGGACATTTAACCTGGCCCCACCCTCCACTGCAGCGGCATCCACCACTTCCACCTCCAGCCCTCAGACCGTGAGTAGAGTCACATGACCATCTGTAGCATTAACAGAGCTAAAACGAATTGCACATCTATAAATCTGTATTGTACGAAACACTAGCATCCAGCGAGCCAGATCTGTAACAACTTTATACGGTAGTATGAACACTGGCATCTGTTGAGAAGGTTCTATAACAAACATATTGTATAAACCACTAGCATCCAGCGAGCCAGATCTGTAACAACTTTATACTGTAGTATGAACACTGGCATCTATTGAGAAGGTTCTATAACAAACATATTGTATAAACCACTAGCATCCAGCGAGCCAGATCTGTAACAACTGTGTGCTGACCAGATTGATGCTAGTTTCCAGAGACCCTAACATGACATTCTGTCTGCAGGGGGCCTGGCGGAACCGAGCTCGGGATAACCTGGAGCAGGTGCTGCGACGTCAGGAGGAGCCCCACCCCTCCCAGCCAGTCCAGTTCATGCCCCCCCAGCTCATCCCAGGACAACCCTCACAGGTATGTCAGGTGCTCCTACCTGGAGCCCTGTGGGTTTGTGGTTCAAACAAATATAAAAACCTATCTATGTATATTATTAATTTCATATTGAGAATGGTGTTTTATCGAAGAAGGGAACAGATATAATCAGTTTCATTATTTTGTAATCAGAATTCCTTTGACATGAGAGATAGGCCATTATTAACTGCTTATCTTTGACAAGTCACTATCTTGGTATCATAGGTTTTTGAGATATGTTGTCACACTAAGAGAAAATATTGAAAACCTGGCCATTTGAAATTAACATAAAATAATTAAAATTTGTTTTCCTCAACCTCAATTACAGAAAAACACCTAAAGAACAAAATATCAGTCAGCTAAGTTCAAAAAGTCTAAAACAGACCTTAGTGTGAATCATTTAACCATATTGTATTACATCATGTCCCAATGTTTACAGTCTGCAGGTCAGCCAGACAATGTGTCCTTCCTCCAAGGGGGGACAACCCATGTCTATCCAGTACATCCAGCAAGTCCCTAACAGTGGTGGCCCTCAGGGATCCCAGACAGTGCATCTTCCCCCATCCTCGGTGCCCAACTTCCAGCCCCCACCGCAGGTGAATGTGTGCTTCGTATCATTGCAATGAGCTGTTTGTTTTAGCCTTGTTGTTAAAGCATTTGCTCATCATGCCAAAGGCCCGGGTTCAGTTCCCCACGTGGGTATATTATGTGTTCTGCTCCTCAGATATGATTGGACCTCATTGGCGGATCGGGGGGGGGGGGTGTTTGGTGTTTGCACCCCCCTTTTGAAAAATGACTTCAGATCACATTGAAGATGTTTTCTTGCGTTGGCGGAGCCAATGGGGGTTCAGGGGGGTTTGAGCCTCCTGAACACACACACACCCCACCACCCCTTTCAAAATTCCTGGATCCACCCATGGACCTGCAAAACTGAAATTTATAAAATTGTTTACATCAATAATGACCTTACACCATTTTGTTTTCAATCAAACAATCCATATTGCTCCTCCTCCTGAACTGACATGGCTGTGTTTCCTTTCTCCAGGTTCGTCTTCAGGGTTTCCACCTTCCACAGAGCCAGGCACCTGTTTTGCAGAGTGGAGCTTTAGTCCAGAACAACCCCGGAGTCTACCCCATGCTGCGGCAACACCATCAGTCCCAGCTGTCCAGCCCTGCAGGGAACTACCTGCCCCGCAATCAGATCTTCCTGGCCCCCAACGTGCAAATGCAGCGTGCCCCCTCAAACATGGGGGCACAAATGCAGCCTTTCCAGATAAATATGGGTCGACTGCCACACCAGACGTGATAATGGTCAAGTGTTTCTCACATAATGACATAAGTCTCAAATACTACTGACCAGTCACATCAAGTGTTACGACACAAGTCCTTCGACACAAGTCCTCAAGTGTTTGACCAGAGACATGTTGCTGTTATGACACAAGCCTTAAATGTTCCTGACTCAAGTCACATCAAGTGTAATGACACCAAGTCCTCAAGTGATTCTGACAACACTCATGACAGACAAACTTCACTTAAACCACTTCACCATGGTAACTTGTTTTTCCATGTAACTTGTGATCATTGCAAAACTGCTGAGGGATCCAGGACTGGAAACGACAAACTTGGTGACAGACGTGTTGGTGTGGGACGTCTTCATACCAGCAAGGATCAATATGTTGTGTGGATCGAGTTCATATATACCAAAGATGACAATGTTCACTTAATACAGGGTAGCTGAGGTTGATTTCTTGCAAGGAATGTTTTCTAGATGTAATTCCATTTGTTGAACTTTGTTTGAGCATGATGCTTTACTTTTTCTCAGTTATGAGTGTCTGGCAAAGGACCAATGACAAGCCATCGTTTATTTAGACACTATGGGGGTTTTTCTACCATGACAGAGTGTAATTTAGGTTTACTTTCCACTGAATAGAAATGAATACACATCATATCTTGTGATGGGGCCACAGTTGGCCTCATCATCAAAGCACCACAATTCGCTGTGCAGAGTTGCATCCCCTTGGCGTGCTAGAAATCTGCATTTGTTGGTTTGAATCCATGTTCACCATGGTAATGTGTCTGGGTTTGTCTGCACCAAACTCATGTTTGTGGGTTTTACCAAGGTGAAAAACGTCCAAGGCCAGCTTCAATTTAGGCTTTTCTCCCTCATCAGGGGTGGTGGGGTAGCCTAGTGGTTACAGCGTTGGCTTGTCACACCGAAGGCCTGGGTTCAGTTCCTTACATGGGTACAATGCGGGAAGCCCATTGCTGGTGTCCCTGCCGTGATATTGCTGGAATATTCCTAAAAGCGGCGTAAAACCCAACTCACTCACTCACTCACTCCTCCATCAGTAAGCTGACATGCCGAGATGTAACTGGAATACAGCCTTAAACCCAACTGAATGTACTGATCCATTGCTTGTTGATGAGGTAGAGCTAAATTGCCAAAGGCCAAAGGCTAGGGAGGGAGTCTGTGATTGTTAAAGCATCGGCCCTAGATGTTGTTGTCTCAATCAGTATGTATTTACATTAAAGGTGCTGATTAAGTATACCATACTGATGGTTTGCAGACTATATTTACTCCCATCTGAGTGAGCCTCTGAGTTGAAATAAGGTTTTACATCATGTTCAAGATTCATTCATTTGCCTGTGTGTTTGTCTTAGACACAAGCCCAGACTAATGCTGGTTGTACAGTGCTAACCCACCATGATAGCAGTCAATTATGGATGCCCCAAGATATGAAGTATTCAGACTCCGGACAGTGATCCCGTTAATGCCAAGCTGTCAGGGTAACAAGAAGTGTAGGTATAACATGGGTGGGGAGTCGAACCACCGGCCTACCTTTCTCTGGACATAAGCTCCACCTATTTTACAATAGAGGCAGGTCTACTTCCATTTGAACAGACCCGTGAAGATCTGGGTTAGAATTGATCTTCAGTAACCCATGCTTGTTGTAAGAGGTGACTAACGGGATTGGGTGGTCAAGTTTGCAGACTTTGTTGACACATGCCATCGTATCCCAGTTGCGTAAATCGATGCTCATGCTGTTGATCAGTGGATTGTCTGGTCCTGGCTCGATTATTTACAGACCGCTGCCATATAGCTGGGATATTGCTGAGTGTGGCATTAAACTAAACTGGCTTCCTCACTCCATTGGAATAGTCAAGACCAAGAAAACAGTTTGTGATGTTCTCCTTTTCAACCTGTGTGAATTATGTTTACCTCTCTCAAACATTGATGAGGTCTGAGTCAGTGTATTAAGCTTTACATGTTTTATGTTCTTTGTTAGTAATGAAAGTTTGATTTGGTGGGATCATTTATTTAGGATGCAATGGTGGATTGAAGAGAATCATTTGATGATATAATCCCTGCTCCTGTGAGTGGGAGTGAGGTGGCATTCCTGTGGAAAACAGGGATGACGTAAGTGTCATCAGATAGCCTACAGTAGTTTGAGTCGAGGAGTAATTGTCTGTGTTAATCTGACTTTTCATTAAATGTCTCAAATAGAGGATGAGTTTTGTTGATGCTGATTACTAGCCATGGTCCACACTGTAATTTAACAGTTGAGGTCGAGTGTCTGTCACAAAAGTATAGCATGATTTCAAATAGACCTGTATCTGGAAACCAAAACATGTATATATGACATACAAATGTATAGAATTTTTCGAAATGAATACATAGTGCCATTTAGAAAGTGGTCAAATGTAATGTATGTTATATTTGGGACTACACTTCTCACAGTCAATGATGAGAACCCAGTCAGCCATCCCTGGCTTCCACATTTACACTTGTCAGAGGGGTACACAAAGTATGTGATCTAGACTACCGGTTTTCAGACTCCCATTTTGTTGAAGCTGCGGTTACATCGCTGACTTTGTGTGCTGGTGATTAGGTGCCTGACAAAGTGTTTGTTCGAATCCTGAATGGAACCTAACAAAAGTAATAGAATCTGTACTTTACTGAGACGTGTAATCCCAAACATGACATATGTAACTTCTGGCCAGTGTGTGATAACATGGTTATTCCTCCACTGTATTTACAGGTCACAATATGAAGGTGTTTTCCTTGTGAATGGTGCTCTGTCTCAAGAAATAGTCTTGTATATTTTGGGTTTATGGTACACCAAAAGAAGTCAAAGTCACAAACCCAAACACAATAAATGGTTTATCATATTTACCTGTCTGCTCTATTTGTGACCATCCGACACGATACATTGCAAAATATTATGATTAAAATTATAGTCCGCTACCAGTTGGAACTGGCCATTGCTGTCCTTTTGAAGGCAACTCTCATTATGTGACAGTTAAGTCACTGGAGCTTCATTAATCCAGACAGCAGCTGGATGCAGAAATATCAGCATATCTTAGTTAAATAACTGGAGCTTCATTAATCCAGCCATTAGCTGGATGCAGAAATATCAGCATATCTTAGTTAAATAACTGGAGCTTCATTAATCCAGACATCAGTTGGATACAGGGGTCTCAGTATACAGTAGTCAAGTCATTGGAACTTCATTAATCCAGACATCAATTGGATGCTTGGATTTAGTAGAGTTTATCCTGTTTATTGTTACTAGTGCTTCTAGGTGCCATGTACAAATATTGCGGAGATGTACCTATTGTGACGACCGACCGTAGTTGCGCCAAAATGAGCTGCTCGTGTTACTGGTTGTCCCTGGTGCTTGTGATGGCAGTAGTTTGCAAGTTGATCTCCCGGAGAGATAAAGATATAGTGATATGCTCAAATGGAACATAGATTGGACCAAGGTTCAAACATCTTCAGATAATGAAGTCACACAAATGCAAACATACTTACATACTCATGTTAATAAACAATTTGTTGACTCACAATACGCACAGTCGTTCACAGATACTCTTTGACATGAAACTGTTATTTCAGCCTACATATGTGATAACTACATTGTGACTTTGAAAATTGGTGTGAACCACTTCACTGATGGAACATGGTGGCTATTCAGTGTGTACATGTAACTAGTTAACTGCCTCAAGATGCTTGCCCGATGCTATTTTGGAATGCTACCACAGTGGCATGTGATTCAGCTATGTACTATGTGTACTGTTTCAGGACATATACTTGTGGTACCCCAGGAATGTCTGTCTTCAGCAGAAGTCAATAAATGTGAATCATTAAACTGTCCTTTGTTTTCAATACACCTCTCATCACTAGCAGGGATTCACAAGCTTCACACTGATGGACGGGCAAAAAAGCTTTGAAAATTATGTTAGGGAGGGAATTATAAATAATTGGTATTTCAAAATACCTCCTTGGAATGATAGGCAGTCTTGCTTGTAATTTGTGGAGTCCAAGATGTGTTCCCAGCACTTCATCTGTATGCCATTATTCAATGGAAAGGCTGTTAAGAAGCAAATGTTTTGGTATTACCCTGTACGTTCTTGTGCAGAACAGCTTCTGGGTTAGCCATAGCTATGTTATTACCCTGTATGTTCTTGTGCAGTGAGCTGGGTTTTTGATGTCGCTTTTAGAAATATTCCAGCGTTATCATGGCGGTGGACACCAGAAATGGGCTTCACATATTGTACCCATGTGGGGAATCCAACCCGGGTCCTTGGCATGACAATCAAACACTTTAACCACTAGGCTACCCCATCGCCTGATAAGCGAATAATCTGTGTAGAATTTAGACAAATCGTTTCAAACAGTTCATCCCAGTAAAGAAGGACTTTATTATGCATTTCCAGGAACCAGGGGTGGAAATAACTTTAAACTTGCTAGTGTACTCCGGTACATTGGCACATGTAAAATCACTTGCCCTGATAATTTTTCCACTATACCGGACGTTTTCTTGTTGATTTTTTAAATAAACAACATAATTAACATTGGAAAGTCAACTGGACACCGGTACAGTTTGATATACAAATTTGTTTGCCCAACAGAAAAAAACCACTGTACTCGGACGTCGGGCAATGGGTTATTTCCACCCCTGAGGATGACTGCTCTGTGATGCATGGGTGACTGGATACCACCTGTGATAAAACCTACTGGACACATCTTCCTTCCTCTTGCACAGGCCAACCACAACACCACATTTCAGTTTTCTTTAAGAGTTATTTGGTTTTGAATCGGATTCAGAACCGATTGCACCTGTGAAGATCTGGGTTAGAATTGGTCTTCAGTAACCCAACGGGGATCGGATGGTCAGGATCGCTGACTTGGTTGACACATGTCATTGTATCCCAGTTCCGTAGATCAATGCTCTTGCTGTTGATCACTGGACTGTCTTGTCCAGACTCGAATTTTTACAGACCGCCGTCATATAGCTGGAATATTGCTGAGTACGGCATTAAACAACAGATCAACCAACCAACAGAACCCATTGAGACAATACAGATCTCACTGACCATGGACTGCTTGACAAGTTTCTGCTTCCAACTTAGACAACAATACGAGGACAAAGAGGCAGACAAGCAGGCCAGGGCAGTGTCTTAATTTAGATAAAGTGAAGGATTCCATTAGACATGGAGAAAATGATCATCTTCTTTTATAAGTTGTATAAGCATGTTGCCTAATACTCTATTATGCTGGGTGATGTGCTGACCCTCCTGACTATAGATGATCAGTCTACAGAGTGAGTGAGTGAGTTTAGTTTTACGCCACTCAGCAATATTCCAGCTATATGGCGGCGGTCTGTAAATAATCGAGTCTGGACCAGACAATCCAGTAATCAACAGCATGAGCATCAATCTGTGCAATTGGGAACCAATGGCATGTGTCAGCCAAGTCAGCGAGCCTGACCACCCCATCCCGTTAGTCGCCTCTTACGACAAGCATGGGTTACTGAAGGTTCATTCTAACCCGGACCTTCACGGGTCTCGGACTACAGAGATTATTGAGGACGCCAGCCTCCTTTTGTTACTCAAGTTCGGGGTCTGTGGGAGGATATTGGATACTCAGCAATATTTAACGCGGAATGCAGATATAATCGTATTTGGTGTGCAGAATCAACATTGAAAAACATTCCTTGTAAATGTGAAAATGTCATTTGTATATTGTAATTGTCAGAGCCAATATCTCAAAGAAGAGTGAGTGAGTATGGTTTTGTACCATTTCTATAGTGCATCAATATCATGGCCGAGGACAGCATAATGGTACAATACCCATGTAGGAAATCAAACCCATGGTTTTGGCGTGATGTGTGAATGCTCCAACCATTAGGCTACCCGACTGACCCATCTGAAATAACACCGTACTGGGGATTCAGGGTCACTATCCACAAAACATTCGTAGCGCTACGACATTCGTAAGCGTATTATATACTATAGAGTTACGACAGGTCATAACGTTATGAACGTTTTGTGGATCGGGACCCAGGGTATTACATGAAAGGTGGCACTCTCCTAATGCGTCTGTTGGGAGTTTCCAGTTTCCAGATACTGACTACGGACTGAGTTTAGTTTTACGCCGCTTTTAGCAATATTCCAGCAATATCACGGCGGGGAACACCAGTAATGGGCTTCACTCATTGTACCCATGTGGGGATTCGAACCCGGGTCTTCGGCGTGACGAGCCAACGCTTTAACCACTAGGCTACCCTGCCGCCCCAGTTTCCAGATAAAAGAATAAAATAAGAATGTTGAACGTGTAACATTGCCAGTATATATCTACATCTCATCACTCAGCATAAGAGGTGGCAAATAAGGGTATCGGGTAGTTGGGCCACATAAAAAAATATTCTTGTTTCTCATAACTTTTTCAAAAAAAATATGGACGGTAGGCAGATTTTATTTTTACATTTTATGTCTAAAACTGCTTGATTTCTGTGGAAATTTACACTTTTTCTCAAAACTTAGAAGTGTGACAAAGTTGCATTTTCTCTAGTGTGAGAAAAAAAAGCCCTTAGGGTCGAGTTTATTTTTTGGGTTGGGCGGTAATGAGATTGAGATTGAGAAACAAGAATATTTTTATATATGGCCTTAGTCTCAGTAACTTGGTTGTTGAATAACATCTATCAAAATTACGTTGGTCGCCTTACATGCTGAACAAACTGTCTGTCTGTGATAACAATCTTACAACCCAGTTAATATTCAGGGCTCAGTTTCGAACCGTAAACTGCATCAATCACCTTTTCACACAATGTCAAAAGTTACCTTGATTGTCTCCCTTGGAATTTACCTGTGCAGGTGCGACACTTCCGCAAATCTAATTTCAAAATGGCGTTCATGGGCTGAGCGTCAGATGACAAACATCTGAAGAATTTCTACAAATACAACACGATCGGACGCTTAGACTGCTGTAGAATAACGCACGTGTGCATGTTTTAACACGACGAACCAATCAAGGGACACCTCAAAGGGGCTACGTTCATCAGAAACTTATATCTTCCGAAATGGCGCTTCGCAACTTCTTTGATTCGAAAATCCTAGCACTCTCTGTTTTGGTCCTTCTTATTGCCACATTAGTTTCCGTGCTATGTGCCCTGCTGCCATTTTGGTTCCGACTTCATTTCGACGCGGCTGATGCGACGTATGGCTCAATGGGTGAGCGAGAGGCGGAACTACAGATCGGTGTGTTCTGGATGTACAAACCCAACAAGCCTGGCCCCGAGCGAACCAAGGTGCTCATGACCAGCCTCGTTGCCCTGGGGGAGGCCACAAATCTGCAGGTGGAACCAGGTACACATTCTCACAAGTTTTGTTACCAATGATCCTGTTCACGGTTAACTAATTAAGATAAACAGTGGGACACAGGTGTTACAATAAATAAATATGGAACAAATGTTTCTGTGTAAACATGGGGAAGAACAAATTCTAGTATTTTGTGGGTAAGAGTTCCGCCCGTAACCCCCGCTTGAAAAATATTCTAATTATTATGATTATTTCAAGGGGTTAGGATTTAGGTTTAGGGTTTAGATTCAGCATTATGTTAGGTTTATGTTTAGGATAGGCTTTCTATAAGTATAAAAACCATCTATTCTTGCTATAAATCTTAGGCATAGAATGATAATAAAACGGGGGTTACGAGCAGAAATCTTTCCATTTTGTGACGTTTAGTGCCATCTAAGATTCTAACCAACACTGTCAGAATGAAACGAATTCTGTTTTAATAAGAAGTTTTATGAGGGACCACACTTTCATAATAAACTACAAAATTCTAGTACTTTTGGGGGGTTGAGTCCCTTCTGGGATCGGAAGTCATTAATTCAGAGTGAGCCAGCACAGAATCATCAGTCTTATCCTCTCCACCACTGGGGCTTCCACAAAGTGGAAGTGTGACAAATTGTAGCCAGGTAAACCCAAACCAAATTTTTCTTCATATTTCAGAAAACGTTAGGGTAAAACATTCAGGCTAGACACTCAGTGCTGGAGGGCATGTGAATGTGATTCTGTTCATAGCCATACGGTGATGCTAGTGAAATGATGGACCTCTTACTATAATACAAGACTGTATCTCTGTCTTGTTACACCACTATTCATGAAATGATTGGTTGAATGAAGAAAGGATGAGTTGTGTACACCATTCACACAATGGTTAAACTGTTCCCAGATTGGCTGACCTATACATAAACTAGTAACCATGGTAACCTGTTGATAAATCAGCAGACCCATATACAAAACAGACTGACCGATCTATAGCATATGTTTTAAGATCAAAGACAAATGGTAAATGAGAAAGTTAAAACAAAAGTATTATTTTGTTATTCGGTATTTTGTGAATCATGTCAGTTGACCATCCATTGACTAGGGCTGGGACGATACACTATGTCACGATACGATACATATCGCAATATTTTACCTGCGATACGATACGCATCACGATACATACAACTTGAAAGAATGACACGGTATCAAGATTAAAAATGATTTATTTCAAGGTATTTGTGTATAACAATAACACTATTGTAACAAACAAACAAGTAACTCTATCTCTAAATGCACTGTAACATGTTTAAGATAATACTGCTTTGAAAAAAAGTTGTGTATAGTTTTGTATCGATACACCAGTCAACAATACGATAGCTGTATCAAACTTAAATGTATCACGATGCATCGATACATCGGTGAATCGTCCCAGCCCTACCATTGACTGGTGATTGTGTGTTGCAGGATGGTTTAAGGCTGGCCAGGTGTTCTACTGTATTGGAGTATTTGGCATCGCTGCTGGCTTTGGCGGTTCTGCCATTCTTGCTCTACGAGAGTTCGGATCCCTCACAGGAAGCTTGGGTCTTTCTGTATTCACTCTCATTGCAGGTGAGCTTAATTTTTTCCCTCTTAATAAGAATTATGCCAACTTAAGTATATATTTAAGAGTACTTTTCGAGACTTTGTGAGTATTTCAGATATCTGTAAGCACTGTGTCTTGGGAAGAAATTAATTCATGTTGTCAGCATGAAGATAGGCTTTGCTAAAGAGTTGTGACCAGAAGCTTGGCTGATCAGATAGCCAAACATTTATCATGGGCACTATCACAAACAATTAGCTCAGTGAAGGAAAACTGATTTGTATGGATAGTCAACTTCTTTATTGCAATGAGTGCGACGTTTCGGTGTAGGTACTAACACCTTTATCAAGCAAGTGTTAGTACCTACACCCAAACGTCGCACTCATTGCAATAAAGAAGTTGACTATCCATACAAATCAGTTTTCCTTCATCTTCATAACTTCTAAAATGCCTCTCAAAGAAATTAATTAGCTCAGTGGTTTACCATGATGGGCTGTAGCTATTTTTCTAAGTAGAACTGGAATCTTGAAAACTGCTATATGGATTTTCCAATTTCCCTTTTCACTGGCATAAATTCATATATACAATAGAAGTGGTAGGATAGGTAATCTGATTTCTTACTAACAACTAACCCAAAGGAGAGAGTGTTTTGACTGGGAAAGGGCACCTTACCCTAATGATTGTAAATCGGACCTTGATCTGAAAGGGGAAACTGACCCTGATGATTGGAAAGGGGAGCTAGATTGGAAAGGGGCATCTAACCCTAATGATTGTAAAGGAGAGCTTGATAGGAAAGGGGCACCTTACCCAAATGATTGTAAAGGGGAGCTAGATTGGAAAGGGGCACCTAACCCTAATGATTGTAAAGGGGAGCTAGATTGGAAAGGGGCACCTAACCCAAATGATTGTAAAGGGGAGCTAGATTGGAACAGGGCACCTAACCCTAATGATTGTAAAGGGGAGCTAGAATAGAAAGGGGCACCTAACCCTAATGATTGTAAAGGGGAGCTAGAATAGAAAGGGGCACCTAACCCTAATGATTGGAAAGGGGAGCTTGAAAGAAAAGGGGCACCTGACCCTAATGATTGTAAAGTGGGGCTTGATCGAAAAGGGTCACCTGACCCTAATGATTGTATAGGGAGCTAGATTGGAAAAGGGTCACCTGACCCTAATGATTGTAAAGGGAGCTAGATTGGAAAGGGTCACCTGACCCTAATGATTGTATAGGGAAGCTAGATTGGGAAGGGTCACCTGACCCTAATGATTGTATAGGAAAGCTTTGATTGGGATCGGAAAGGGCACCTGACCCTAATGATTGTACAGGGAAGTTGGGAAGGGTCAGTCAGGATTAAATATGTAAGATCAGAATGAGCTGAGTGTTGTCTTTATCAAAGCTATAGTCCATGGAACTGAAAATCAGTGTCTAAAGGGATGCAGCTGAGCCACATTTGAGTAACTCATGAGAGATAAACTGTTAAACATTTTAGCGAGCAGGTAATTGTAGGGTTCAAATAGATCAGAATAGTTACCTTTTCTTGTCAATCTGTGGATGTCAGACTGCAGTATATATTGTTATGGCAAGCCAGACAGACTGTATACAAATGCAATGTCTGCTTCACTATCTAGATCCTATATATAAATTATAAGGCAGTTACTCTAGTAGAACTGACTTTCCAAAAGGCCTGTAGAAAAGATTTGTTTAGGGAACAGTTATTTTGCTAAATGCAATGTATGTTCCACATACAAATATTTACCCTCCCAAAGACCCCCACGTGATAGTTGCTTTGTACATGCATGACACAAGTTCCATATCTTTTATTTTTCCTTATCCTGACTCATGCTCTTTTGCTTGTCGTCTTCTTCTTGCGAACATAGTGGAACACTTGTATCTCCCTAATTGAAGCTCCCTTCAATGTAAAATCACTAATTAGTACTCATCACGAGTTACCTCCCTTCCACAAGCGTGGGAACGAGGGCGCCACCTCCACCCATGTGCCTCACTCTCTCCTTCTTCGCCCAGTGAGCTGGATCGAGAGCTACTGTGTCTCCCGACACACTATATCCTTTGATTATATTTAGTTAGTTACCTCGTATAGACATCTATAGAGGTTTAGCTAGTATCCTTCAACAATTATATATTGATATTTAGTCGTGTTTCTACTGTTTATTCACGGACGCCGTGTTTGTTTCAGTGGATTACGTTGATGAAAATTCTGTACTGTTGCAGATTACGCTTTTTATTCTGCTGCTGATCCGCATTTAATATGCCCTAGTTGTACTCGCGCCATGTTCATTTTATTCACGTTGCAGTTGCGGTACTAATTTATCCAATTCTGCCTTTAATAAATAATTACTTTGCATTTGAGACGCCGCAGCAGATAGGTCGCTGCGATGCAGAGTCTAGCCATGACTGATACACCTGAACCCCTCGCCAGTCTACTGCTGTTGGTCGACCCCCTCCCGTCTGGTGTTCCGCTAGAGGGTGGAGAGTGGGGACGTAGTCCTGCCGCCTCCAAGAAGCGCCCTGCTTCCCCAGACATCCCATCGCCGCAGCCGAAGACTAGAGGGTTTCTACTGCATCTCAACGCGACCTCTGAGGGGAAATCAACGGTCTACTTGAACTTCTCAGCCGAGATTGTTCCCCGCCGCAGATTTGGGCCTGTATGATGATCAGCCGATCATCATACCTGATGTACATCAAAAGAATGACCGATGTCGGCAACAGTGATGTCAGCGCAGATCAACATGCAGCCTGATGTACCAACGCTGATATTCTATGATCTTCCTGAGGGTCCCGTCGCTACCAACACTCAACGCAGACTTCGCACCCCCAGGGCAGCGTCGACCTCTGAGGGGAAATCAACGAAGTCTACTAGGACTTTCTCAACCGAGATTGTTCCAGCCGCTGAACTGGGCCTCTACGATGATCAGCCGATCATCATCCCCGACGTACGCCACAAGAAGCGACCGGAGACAGCTACAGTGACATCAGCAGAGATCGCCATGCAGCCTGATGTCTCTACACTGACGTCAGACGACTTCCCTGAGGGCCCCGCCGCTAACATCGCAGAGAGGGCACCGACTACTTCGTCGCAGACCATCCCAGATGAACTGTTGCGGCAAATCATGATCATGATGGAGGGCCACTACAGACTGGAGAAGCAGCCAGCCCAAGGCCTGAGCCTTCGCGAAGGTTCCAACGCAGACGACACCCCAGAGGCACCCCCGTCAGCGTAGCAGCCACGACGAAGCCACCTTCGCGAAGGAAGTCGCAGACCACCTCGACGAAGGACCCAGATGTACAGCCTTCGCGAAGGCGGGATAGATCATCACCTTCCTCGGCTTCATCCTTAGATGCGGACTCAGACCACCAGACCTCACGGAAGCCTTCGCGAAGGTCAAGTCGCCGTTCCCCAGGACCGACGCAGAGGAAGCTTCGCGAAGGCCTTCGCGAAGGACACCTGACTACACAAGAGCTTCGCGAAGCTATCAACATTCTCCTCACAGGTCTCCGAGAAGGTCAACCCATAGACGCAGATCACCAAGACGATCTCCTCGCCGTTCACCGCGCCGATCTCCTCGTACATCACCACGTCGATCGCCTCACAGGTCACCACACAAGTCTGCACAAGTCTACAGTCAGGTCTCCGAGGCGCCACCCGACATAGAGATAGAAATACACAGTCCACCATCAGAAGAGCATCAACCTCTCATCAGCGATGCTGGGATAGAAGATGATGGAGGCATCATTTTCTCAGACGCTGAGATACGATATTGGATGGTAAACAACCTAGATCTCTCTTCACCTTCCAAGAGTGGCAACTCGGCGCAGACATACCTGATAAAGGAAGACAATGCAGACGCCATCACCTTACCTCCGATCGACTCGATTGCTGCTGTGCCACAGAATGTGGACACAGCCTACCATAAAGCCATAACAGTTCAAACGCCAGAGGCGTATGTTCTTGGCCTTAATAGATCTAGAACGATCAATGAGATTCTTATCACCAGATTTCGTGACGCGACTTCTGAAGATGATAGGATGATCTACTCGGCTCTACTTATGCAGAACCAGCAAGAACCACACCCTGTATGAAGCTAACGCTCATATATTGATCGGACTCTAGACACCGCTAAAGGAAGTCCCAGGCCACCTCCGCGAAGGAGCTAGAGCCTCACCAGCTACAAGGGACGCCGCGGAGGAGAAGCGCCCAACCGACCCCACATATTGCTGAGTGCGGCGTAAAACTAACTCACTCACTCACTCATGTTGAACACAGAGGTCGTTCGCGAAGCAAGCGCTCATATATATATATATACTGATCGGGCTCTGACTCGATACCTTCGCGAAGGTCGCGAAAGCTAAGTGGCTCCAAGTCTACTTCACACAGAAAATCTAGAATGGATACTTCGAGAGCTTCGCGAAGTCTCCGGCGTCCACCGAGGAAATCTCCTCCAAGGTCTCCATATATTAGGCACTCGTCATATATAGCTACTCGTCAGTCCGTTCAAGACATCGCATAAGTTGTCTATCAACTGTATGCCATATGCCGTCTATAAGCCTACGCGAAGACAATTGCACAGGCTATTTACAACACAGAACGTCGCTGTATTAATTAGTCAACGACGTTTCATAGATCTTCACAGGAATCAACCTTTCCGTATAGATTGCTAGAATATGCAATCCCGGACTACGATACGACACGATTATCTACATGCGTGACCATTACACAGATCTGCAGACAATTCAATATCGAAATTGAACAGCAGCCTTGTTACAGCGAGTATAACTCATAATCGTTGGACAACGACCTACGAAGAGGTCGATCTTAGTTCACAGTTCAAGACTTACGTTACAAGTGACAACTATATATCAGTGAACGAGCAAGCCTCCTTACAGTCCAGTTAATCTGAACCTTCATGATTGGGCTGCTTTCTTCAGGTTAGAGACCTCCCCTGTCAAGTTAGGACGAGGGCACGGCAGTCAGGCGATTTTACATAAAGTTCAACGAGAACAGACACACCTGGTTGTGCACCTACATCGTCAAGGACTTCGTGAGCGAATAACCTAGGCGACGGGATACAAGTGGATCTAAATCCACAGCGTCTCAGACAACAGCTGAATTTCATCATCAAGCTACTAACATAACTAGATGGTTAGTAAACCTGCTTAAGCTTTCTGATTGGAGAATTAAAGCGGAAGTTTCACCCTCCAACTTGGGGATCTGAATATAGTGCTCCAACACCTCACACAAGTGAGGTTTATGAACACGCCTGGATGACATACTTGGACTCCATGATAACGATGATTCTATCGCGATGGCCAGCAAGAGCACTGTAAATTTATCTCCACCCGAACCAAACAGGAGGAAAAATGCAACAGATTATTTCCTCTATCATCAACTTACGCCAGAATGAAGTCTCACGTACTATATCTCCGTTTGGATCAGAACTGTCATACTACGTGCATACAAGGCGGATGGACCCAATCCGACCCTCCATGAGCTTTTAATACTCATGATATTAGAGCTAACTTCTACAATTGATCTACACAAATGTTATTTGAAATAATGGAGGGTTTATTTCTGGAGATCCGATATGGTGGTTGCCAACCATTATCTGAGAGATATCACCACCGAGGGCGTCTCAGGTATCCACCAATTCGATCCCATGGTCCCGCAGACAACAGTTGACAGTTCCTCGGAGAAGATAAGTCAATCTTACAGATTTCTACTTATCTTATAACAGTACTAAATAGCTACATGCGATATATAATTTGCTTAAGTTCTTTTATCATCACAGTACTATGATTATTACATCATACAATATATAAGTTAACAACTCTACAGAGTTGGTTATTATATATTTACCTTAAGTTAATCATATCTTAAGAGTGGTACTATGGTTACATGATAAATGCATTAGCTAACAAACTCTACAGAGTTTTGGCTATTATATCACGTAGCTTAAGTTAATTATATCTTAAGCATAGTACTATACTCATATTGTAAAATATATAAGCTAACAAACTCTACAGAGTTTGGGCTATTATATAGGTAGCTTAAGCTTATTCATATCTTAAGCTCAGTACTATGTTTATATCATATAAGTATATTAGCTAACAAACTCTAAAGAGTTTTTTGCTATTTGGCTTAAGTTTCATCATATCTTAAGCAATATGGTTACATTATAACATGTATTAGCTAACAAACTCTACACGAGTTTTTGCTATTATATATGTAACTTAAGCTTATTCATATCTTAAGCACTTAGTACTATGTTATATCATATAGGTATATTAGCTATCAAAACTCTAAAAAGAGTTTTTGCTATGATATATTTGGCTTAAGTTTCATCATAATTTAAGCTTTATGGTTTACATTAACACTCTGTGAGGAGTTTGCTATTATATATGTAACAAGGGTTTCCATATGGAGTTTTAAAAGCTATTATATATGTTTATATCATATAGGTTTAGCTAACCCTTCATAGGTTTTGCAATTACTCTAAAAGGTTTCCTTCTATTACTATGTTTATATCATATAAGTATATTAGCTAACAAAACTCTAAAAGGTTTTTTTCTATTATATATTTAGCTTAAGGTTTTCCTTCATATCTTAAGCTCAATACTAGGTTTATGTCATATAAGTATTTTAGCTAACAAACTCTAAAGGGTTTTTTGCTATTATATAATTAGCTTAAGTTTCATCATATCTTAAGCAGTATGGTTACATTATAAAATGTATTAGCTAACAAAACTCTACAGAGTTTTGCTATTATATATATAGCTTAAGTCTAATCATATCTTAAGCTTAGTACTATGGTTACATTATAAATTTATTAGCTAATAAACTCTACAGAGGTTTTTTTTTGGCTATTGTATATGTAGCTTAAGTTAATTATATCTTAAGCACAGTACTATACTCATATTGTAAAAATATATTAGCTAACAAACTCTACAGAGTTTTGCTATTATATATGTAGCTAAAGCTTATTCATATCTAAAGCTCAGCATTATATCTATATCATATAAGTATATTAACAAACTCTAAGGAGTTTTGCTATTATATAATTAGCTTAAGTTTAATCATATCTTAAGCTTAGTACTATGTTTATATCTTAAAGTATTTTAGCTAACAAACTCTAAGGAGTTTATACTAGCATATTAACAAGCTTAAGTCTATTAGTCTTAAGCATTGTATTAATGTTATATATACTTTATCATAATAAGTACATTGTAATAACCTTTATATGGCAGCTGATAAGTTAGCAGCAGGAATTCATCAGTTCAGTACCTTTATGAAGTTCCCATAGGGTTATTACAATCATCACAGTTCAAATCACTAATTATTAAAATCCAAAGTATTATATATTCCCACCTCGGTTCACCGAAATCTACAAGCAAAAGAGCAAGAGTCAGGATAAGGAAAAATATGTAATTTTTAGAGTAAAATTGATATTTTATACTTATCCTGACTCATGAGGTAAGCCCTCCCATCCTCCCCACATAACACTTTGGATTTCCCTGTAAATTCAAATGTTGGGCTCAGTATATGAGGAGAGAGTGAGGCACATGGGTGGAGGTGGCGCCCTCGTTCCCGAGCTTGTGGAAGGGAGGTAACTCGTGATGAGTACTAATTAGTGATTTTACATTGAAGGGAGCTTCAATTAGGGAGATACAAGTGTTCCACTATGTTCGCAAGAAGAAGAAGACAAGCAAAAGAGCATGAGTCAGGATAAGTATAAAATATCAATTTTACTCTAAAAATTACATTTTTTCTATTGCAGCAATTTCACAGGTGATCGCCGTTGTGTTTCTTTTGATCACAAGCATCAGTGGCAAGAGCACATGGCACATGCTCCCTCTAGAAGATCCATACCGAGTCGTCATCACTTCCTACCCTGAAATGAACCTCGATTGGGGATTCTATGTTGCTGTTATCGGCGCTGGGCTCTCCATCTTCGGAGCTGTCCTCCTTATTATTGAATCACTGAAACTCTGCAAGAGTATTGAAGATATCCGACGCCGCCAGTTGACAACGAAACCCAAACCAGAGCCATACCCAGATATCCGCTACAGCCGTTTCACGTATGCCGATGTTCCCCGTCCCCAAACTGGGTACCCCAAAGAAGGGTACTCCCAATCTCATCACACAGGGATGGTGTTGAGCCGAGCACCCCCACAGCAGTTCATCGCTCAGCCTCAGCCCTCTCCCCAGCCCCCTCGGTACGGGGACTACCAGCACTCCCCCCAACCCATGCGAAGCTACAACCCTGAGCCAGGCTATGTGTCACGTCAAGTAGAGTTGTAAGAAGGCAACTTTATTGTTAAGCTGGGTTTCAGGAATTAATTTGTGAGGATATCAGAGGCCATATAAAGACAACTTTAGATTTGTAAGGTATGTAATTTTACCGTACATTACCCATATTGAAAAATGAAAAATATAGTATTTGGGACTATGTGCTTCACTGTTTGAACTAAGAATAAAACTTATTGGTTAAACTATAGGAACAAATGTTGAATGATATCCTGCACCATAAATAGGTGAATTTATTAGTGGTACATGTATATTGTTTTCTAAAAATTATAGATTCAATATTTAAAGATATTGCAAGGGGAGGCAATTTTAAGACGTACATGTGTTTGGATATCTAAGAACACAACATTGTCAGTAGAATATCTTTTGGTAAGTAGATTGATATAAGATTTGTAGGTACTAGTTTGGGAGGAAGTGCGTTTGCTGCTGTAATTGTCAACACAGTTGTTATATCACGAGGAATGTACATAACATTATCAACATCTATTGATAATTTTAATTCTGATGTTGATTTTGGAAACTGTAGAGATGTCTACATCTTGCTCCTTTTTTTTATTGTGTCATTCTCCAAAAATATTTTTAAATTGATATATGTTTTTATTTCAAATAGTTTTACATAAAAATCTCATATGAACATTCCATTTATCAGGTTTTAATTCTTTCCATCATTTTGACTTAAAAGTTGATGTTGATTCTGTACATAGTTTTGTATACACTTGTATCCCACTATACCCATGTGTTTTAAATCAAATAATTAGCATTATTATGAGAATGAGAATTCATGGTAAAATGAGGATATTCATTCCTTGTTTATTTGTTTGCAAAATTAATGGTTTGATATTTCTGAATTTTAAACATAAGAATTTTTATATAATTGCTGTTTTAGAAATGAATGCTTGATCATTTTTATTGTATATTTGCTATCACAAGTATGACTTTTATCACAGTATCATTGATCTAGATTGTATAGTCTTGCCTTACTTTGTGTGTAAGTCACCAATAAGTGGTCTTGCCATATCAAGCAACAGAAAAACTGATCATTTGTCATAATATCAACCTTTGGTTATCCAATGAATTGCATCTCCAGCCTGTTACAATATATACTACCCTACCATTCACCACGGATGCTTCTTAAAGTAGTCATCCAATGAAATTCAACACCATGGAACTTTCTGCTATGATAACATTGAGAGAGAATGGGATGCTGAGGTCACTTCCTAACTGAGAAATGCAACCAGGATATATAAAGTGATAGAATGGGGATATATTACGGTGGATAATCAAGGGTACATTATGTCATATATATTTTAGTACTCATGAATCATTCCGAAATTTTGTAATAAAATATTTTATATTGATGTCTGTTGTGTTGTTATATTTAAACAAGGGAAGTTACTGCTTAAATGCAAAACAGATGCAGCCTTATAAATCATCTCCCTTAATTTAGAATGGGAACAGGTGGCAAGGTGGCTCAGGCGCTATAATTCGCTGTGCAGAGTTGCGTCCCTTGGCACATCGGAAACTTCAGATTGTGGGTTCAAACCAGGTTAGCTCGGACTTGGTTTATCGGCATCAGATCCGTGAGTTTCACCCCAGTGGTTATGTCTGAGACCTGTATCACGTAATGCTTTCAGCCCATAGTTAAAGAAGAATGATGACAATTGTTATGGATATACAACTTCTTTTATTCTGTGAAGGGTGACAGGTATTTTTCCGACTTAGATTCTAATGCCGTTGTCAAGCAAGTGATGACATTAGAAGCTATGTCGAAACGTCGCCTTTCACAGAATAAAAGAAGTTGTATATCCACAATTGTCATCATTCTTCATCAACACAACTTCTAAATGCCCATCAAAGATGCCCATAGTTAGTTGACAAACTGACGATCACAGGTACTGTTCAAAGCAGGGTTAAAATGAACTTACTTAAATGCAAAAGAATATTCCAATGGTTCTAGGCATGTTTTCTAACGAGGACATGGTAATACACCAGTTTAATAACAGATCATCACATCGGCTTCCGCCCAAGATATAACAATGATAAGTGTGATTGTAGAGCACGGTTACCTGTTGTTTGAACAGGTCAAAATTGAATTTGGAATCGTGCATTAAGTTTCAGATGTTAATGAAATATACTTTCACACGGTATCAAATGTTTGGACAAGTCGCTGTCCAGAAGTCATTTGTTTCCACACAACAGCGATTTGGTTATTCTGCCTTACTGAGTGAATACTTCACGGACTCACCCGTAAAGATCCGGGCTAGAATCTTCAGCAGCCCATGCTTGTAAGATGATCAGGTGGTCTGGCTCACTGATGACATATGTCATCTTAGGCAAATTGTGTAGATCAATGCTCATGATCAGTGGATTGTCTGGTCCAGTCTCGAGTTTTTACAGACCGCCGCCATGTAGTTGGAATATGGCTGTGTTCGGCATTTAACAACCATCAAACAACCTCAAGGACAAAATCATGGAATAATAGGAAAACAACCTTGTTTACAATCATAATGATCTTTATTGATTTGTTTGGGGTAATTGCTTTTCTTCTATATGTGCTCTCTTTATAGACAGTGGGGTATCTTTTAAAGAGTAATGTGGTAAAGTAGAATATTACAAGCATTAAAATCCCGCGAGCTGCATAGTAATAAACATACCTAGAAACGAATGAAACGCACCCGAATTGATTGAGGCGTACGTAAAATATGGTGAGGGCGCCACATGTCCCCAGCGTTGGACCGCCTGCAGACTGTGTTCAGTCGTGATCAACGAAATTAAGGGTGGAAGAAACGTTTGGATTATCATTAAAGGTGTATTATAAAAGTACATTGTTCATACAACAATTAATCCACTGTCTTTTAATGAGAGCCAGTCATTAGCACACAAACCCAATAAAGCCTCCATTCGCTACAACAGGATGTGAAAATGTTAATTTGCCTGATGAGTGGCATTTTGTAACACCCATAAAAATATTCCATTGTTGTCTATTGTCTGTCTGCTCGCGACATTGCCCCATTGACGTCACGCGTCTCGCAAACCCATGTTTTATATTGCCCGTAAACTATGTACCTTTCATCCAGGGGCATTAATCTATCAGGAGGTTTCATAAATTCACTAAAAGTCATGGAGATATACAGACATGCTTTTCGTCTGCTCCGCCTTTAGCGTTCTGTGCTTTTTTCGGCATAAATTCATTTTTCCTGGCAATAATTTCAGACGCACAACGACATTTCATGATTTCTATTTTGTTGTTTTTCTGTTTCACGCTAATCAATATACATGTATAAATCGGTGATATTTCTAGCATTCAATATACGCGACAACAGTAAACTCGCTATTAGCGGAACAGTAGTGTTTCTACTGAAATAAAAGCAGTAGCATCATGGCTAATGCGTTCGCACCAAAGTTCACCTTCGATTTCTTAAAGGGAACAATGTTTTAAAGCCCATTTCTGTTGTCCGTATATGTAACAATGTCTGAATATTACCCAGCATTACTCAACATAATATTCAAGCAGTCTAAAAAAATTAGTTTGATGTTTAACGACGCACTCAGCATTATTCCAGCTATATGGTGGTGGTTTGTAATTAATTTAGTGTGGACCAGACAATCCAGTGATCTACAACATGAGCATCTTGAACAAAAAAATGTCTTTTTGCTTTTTTCCCTGGCTTACCAAGCGTTTGGGTCTAAAGGTAATAACACCATGAACAAGATTCTATTATATTATTGTTTAAGTCACATTGCAGAATTGTGTGCAGTTTTGAATACATGTACCCAGCTAACAATTTCACGTTGTCACAACGTCATCACAACGTTATTCTGTGACGTTAAAAATTGTGATACGTCATTAAATAATATGTCGCCACAAGGTAAGGTTACAATGCATTCGATGCTAACGTATTTTACATTGTCTTAACGTTCTATCTAACGTTAATAGCAGAACAGTTTCCCAATAGTGACCAGTACAAAAGCAACAAACCAGAAAGTCACTTCAATGTTTATTGGTCAATTTGCATGCTGTTTTGGTCGTGTGTTTTCTGAAGCTGTAGCTGACTAGTGAAGACAGAATCTCAAAGTGAAAACGTTTACAGAAAACTCTATCGTGACAAGTTCTAAGAAACGTTGTGTCATGACTTTACCAATCTACAACCTTCCCACAGCGTTGTGAAGACGCGCTCCGTCACTGGTCGTCCCGAATGAGCGGTTTCCAGATTAATAGGGTCCGGGCAAACGAGGATTCTCTGCATACGTGGTTTAATAACAAACAAGACTGAATCCATGCCTTTGTTTTTATTCGTTGTCTAAAAGTACAATGTGTTTTACAACATATCGAAAGTGTATGTTCCATTATAAAGTGATCAGTTAGCCCGGATATGTCATATATAAGTAGGGTGTGTATGTAAGGGCTAAGATCCTTACAGACTCACTAATAGAAGTAATTAAACGTTTCGTAAGTAAGCCGGGGAAGGAGCTAGATATTTGCCAAAGTAGCATTAGGTATTAGGATCTTAACAGGGATTAAGCTACATGCGGATTATTAGTGTATTACGAACACTGCTATTGCCCAAATATGTCCGGGTTTACAAGTTCCGTAAATGACCGCAGTTACGACATCTTTCCTTGTGTAATACATAGCTTATGAAATAAACCCGACCATTGGTTAATACAATGTCAAGAATTGATTCACTGTCGTTTCATATCACATCACGATGTCAGTATCGATAGCAAGCACTGATACAAGTTGTACTTTCATTTATACACATTCGCGATATTTACAATTATATGGATATTTACTGTTGTGTTGGTGTTTACCTTTCTTGGATACCCCGAGAAGGTCACGCACCTGTTGTAACGGTGTAACCTTTGTGACGTAAGCACGACGTCAGTGTCACGTGACAGGGTATTTCCTCAGACTGGCTGGTTTGTTTTGGTCTGTGGACAAGTCCAACCTGCGAGTGTGTACGAACGAGCGTTGTGATAGAGTTTGTAATCCGCGAGCGTCGTCACATTAATTTATTTAATTTATCTCTTTCGTGTCACTTACACTACAGAACAGTTTAAAATGGCGACTGTTGTGACGATTCTTGGTTTTCTTTGCTCTACACTGAGTGTGACGTTCAATGCCATTGCGATCGCCACACCTCACTGGCTTGCTTCGAGAGGTCGCTCAAACACTGACATCGGCGTGTTTCGACACTGTAATGTCGACAGTGGATATTGCGGCGATATGGACAGCCTGGGAGCTATCATCAACTCTAAAGATATAGGTGAGTGATAAACATGATTATGACACAGTAATATAGATACATTGTACAACAAAGTGGTACACTTGTCACATGGTATTGTCACAACTGTATTGCCTCAGTGACGTTATGGAAACATGATATCCAATTCAGTTTTCAATAATTTATACATGGAGATAACGTTATTTATTTATTCATCTGAAAAGCCTTTTTTATTTGTTAATATATTTTTTTGCAAGTCATGCATTAATCCTGTTAACTTTCCATTTGACAAGAATGTCAATACAATTGTGAGGATTGAAATAACCAGTTTGGCAACTTTTGTGTTTACAATATTTATCAGGTAGTGATCATTCGTGACAGGAATAACTAACAGTACTTAAAATGGAATATATAATTTAGTAATATACAAAATGATAAGTGGCTTTGCCTTATTTCTCTCATCACATCTTGAAATTGAAAATGACAGAATGTCCTCAACCAGCAATAAGTATTTATACTGCCCTTGAAGTGTCAATACATCTTGCATGTGAATGACTTCTTAAACACTGAGTTCTTAGATATTTCCAAGATTACACCAGGATATGCCAGGGACGTGTTTCTATATATGCCCAGCACAGGTATTGTGCACCTTTCGTCAACTATTGCTTCACAAGGAAGGAGGACTTGATGGGTGTACATCTGGTAACCTCTTGACACTGACGTTGTTCTGTTTCCTGGAATTAAGCCTTGGAGGGAGATTGCTCTTATGTTAGTTTTGTTTCCTGGATGAAAAATCAGATAGATTGCAAATGGTTTTATTTCAATGAATATTGAATGAATGTTGATTAATTAAGTTTTTTATGTTATAATCTTTTATGCAGATTAATGAAGGGTAATTTAGATTGTACTCCCTAGCACATGCATTCTCCTGATTAATGCATTGAATACTGAGATAATCCAGCATTGATTTGTAGCAAGCTGGTAACAACACTCTATAATGAACACACTACAGTTATGTGTGATTGTTGAAGGTTTCACAGTAACACCACAAATCATTCATGAGAAGGATTAACATAAGTAGGCTCACTAAAAGATAGTAACAGAAGGATAACATAAGTAGGCTCACTAAAAGATAGTAACAGAAGGATAACATAAGTAGGCTCACTAAAAGATAGTAACAGAAGGATAACATTCTAACAACATGATACACAGAGACATATGATAAAGGAACCATTTATACAGGACGCCAATTGAACCTGACTAAATACTTAGTGGGATGACTAACAGCTACTGCTTAATGAGTTCAAAGTAGGTGAACTAAGTGTAACAACCTTCATCTCTGCTGATGGAGGCCGGGGTTGTGGCACCGAATCTGAACAGTTTTAGTGAAGTCGTGGTGGTATTTCGAGAGGGTTTTGATGTTTACCAAATTGATGTGATTGGGGCAGTTTCTGGTGTGGTGATATAGCAGTAACCTGTCAACATTATTGTATATAAATTATAGACTTTAAGACCCTGTTGCACGTGGCAAGAACCAGAAACACATTAAATCATGCATATACATCACTTTATAAAATTTATAGTTATTGTAGATTAAATTTTCTGCTCTCAGACACCTTATGTATGGCTATATCTCCAGTTCTATACGCCATTCCTAATCCATCAATTGGCTCAAAGAATTTATGTTTTAGCAATGTTTAGTATGATTGAGTTTAGCCACAAACAAATAAATCTTTGGTATTTGTTATCTCTGTCAATCTCTATGGTTTCTGGAAGTACAAAATGGTTGATTGAGTATTTAATTAACAGTGTATATTATACATGTTGTTTGTGTCCCTTAGACAATGAAAATTTAACCAAAATGTTTCATGTCATAATATTCAGGTAATTATGGAAATAATTTTGGTTTGGGCACTTTTGGTTTGTTTGGTTGAAAACCTGGTTACTACTTGTGTTTCAATCACAAGGAACATGATGAATGTCAAGAATTTTCTTTACCAAGATTAACAAATATAATTTTGAAAATATGCTTATGATAAGTACTTTTTGTGGTTGAAAAATATGTTATTACTCTGTATAAAGTATAAAAGATAGGATTGCAATATACATTTTTAACCAATACTGTTGCCCATAATATATTATTTCCTGTTGCCTATCCAGCTTTACTGCATCAGAAGTGACACTTAACTTGACCCAAGAATCCATAAACCCAAGTCCAAACGTGGCAGACTTTTACATAAATACATGGAATACTCCATGAAGTGTTCATGATAACAACCCATCCGTGTGAAACAATTGCTATGGAAGAGATTGTTAGAGAGCGTGAATCTTTTAATGCATCTCCACACATTGGAATGATGTGTTTGGGATGATTAGATCAGCGATTTATTGTCCCATCTTGTAATGGAAGACAGGCATTGCTTGGCCAGATTGTCTTCTGTTTGATACATGCCACTGATTGCTATAATTAACCTCTCTGAAATCTTATAAAAGAGATTGATACACATTTTGGTGGATGTGACATTCTGACTCAATTTATCACATATTATATTGAGGCCATTGGCAAAAACGTTCTGAGATTCCAGATAGACGTGATCTCTTCTGTGCTCTGCTCTGATGGGAATTTGTTGGTCGGAAGCAGATAGTCTCTGTAGTATAGTGAGAAGACAGATTTGTCGATGGAATATACTGCTTCCTACTTAGGCTGAGACCATCTCTGCTGAATTTGAACGATATTCAATATGTGAATCCATCTGAAGTAATGCAAGACAGTGTTGATATAAGAAATATGAGGCAGGCGAGGGGTATTTTTACTTATCGCGGATGTCAAGTCGACTAGGTATTTATATGTGACAATAAACAGTGTTGAGTTTGTGTCACAGACACGATCAAACAGTGCGACATTTGTACAGTGGTGTTGTTCTGGAAATGGGGCTCACCTCTTGAGCAGTTATGAAAAAGAGTAGAAATAGCAAATGTTCTGAGTTTGATTTTCAAATGATATTAAGGTCTTCATCGTGAAGGTGTTTCGAAACATTTCACATAAGCAAACTTATGAAGTGTGTTGGTTGATATTGTGAATTTTCTCATGACATTTTCTCTTATTTCTTGGTATTGTCTCTGCTAATAGATAATTCCATCAGTCTGTAGATTTGAGTTAATTGCATAAAGGATATCACCTATTGGGTCCATGGTGTTACAGGGATCGAAATAGTGCTCGATTTGAGTGCCATGGCACAGTAAATATTGAAATGGTACAGATGATTCAAAATCTGTTTTTGCAACCCATCAAACTGTTTATCTGTGGCACTCTCAATCTATGCCCGTGTCCATAATAGGGGTGGGTATTGCAGAGAATTTTCATATTGCGATGTGAAAGCATGTATTGTGATATGTATTGCAATATATTGCATGAAGTATTTTTAAACAAAAAACTGCTTATAGTCGAGTTAATGCTTGATTTATAGAGCAAAAAACACAACAAAATCACTATGCTTGATTAAGCTTTAATAACAACTTTTAATCATGATAAAATAAAAGTGTGAATAATATTTGGCACAAACATAACAAGGAAATATCCAAAAATTTCTGAGTGTTATGAAGTTTTCCGAATGCAAGTCAAAATACCGGTTTTCGATCAGCGTATCGCAATACGTATCGTTTTCATGTCTGAACCGGTAAATACCGGTAAACCAGTTATATTGCGTGTCCATATCCATGTCCATAACAGGAAATCCCCCTTTGGATGATAACATGGCTTGTAGGTTAGTGCATGGCCCGGTCCTGGAAGCAGAACTATTCTTACAGTCATGATAGTGCTCAGGAAATCTAGCTCTCAGTTTTACAGGATTACATGATGTTTACTGATTACACATTAAATTGAAATGACATTATTGCTGCAATGTTTTAAGTTTAATTGGATCATCAAAAGGTGATCAAATCATCTGGCTGGTGCCGAATGGCATCCTTCGAAAACATTTGAATTCTCTACCAGTGTTATATGAGTTACCCAGGATATGCTGTGTTAGCATGGACGTATAATATTATCTATAGGGTTCATGGTGTTAGTACTCAGCATATGCTGTGTGTTAGCATGGACGTATAATATTATCTATAGGGTTCATGGTGTTAGTACCCAGCATATGCTGTGTGTTAGCATGAACGTATAATATTATCTATAGGGTTCATGGTGTTAGTACTCAGCATATGCTGTGTGTTAGCATGGACGTATAATATTATCTATAGGGTTCATGGTGTTAGTACTCAGCATATGCTGTGTGTTAGCATGAACGTATAATATTATCTATAGGGTTCATGGTGTTAGTACTCAGCATATGCTGTGTGTTAGCATGGACGATATAATATTATCTATAGGGTTCATGGTGTTAGTACCCAGCATATGCTGTGTGTTAGCATGAACGACATATAATATTATCTATAGGGTTCATGGTGTTAGTACCCAGCATATGCTGTGTGTTAGCATGGACGTATAATATTATCTATAGGGTTCATGGTGTTAGTACTCAGCATATGCTGTGTGTTAGCATGAACGATATAATATTATCTATAGGGTTCATGGTGTTAGTACCCAGCATATGCTGTGTGTTAGCATGGACGTATAATATTATCTATAATATTATCTATAGGGTTCATGGTGTTAGTACCCAGCATATGCATGGTGTGTATCTTAGTTCATGGTGTTAGTACCCAGCATACGTGACATATAATATTATCTATAGGGTTCATGGTGTTAGTACCCAGCATATGCTGTGTGTTAGCATGAACGTATAATATTATCTATAGGGTTCATGGTGTTAGTACCCAGCATATGCTGTGTGTTAGCATGAACGTATAATATTATCTATAGGGTTCATGGTGTTAGTACCCAGCATATGCTGTGTGTTAGCATGAACGTATAATATTATCTATAGGGTTCATGGTGTTAGTACCCAGCATATGCTGTGTGTTAGCATGAACGTATAATATTATCTATAGGGTTCATGGTGTTAGCATGAACGTATATAATATTATCCCAGGGTTCA